TTTATGGCCGGAAGCGATTTACGCTGCCGTTTAGACTAAAAATATTAAATTTTTTACCGTCGAAAAGCATGCGCGCTTTTAACGATATCCTTTTAAATTGGTTTTGGGGATGGTTCCGGCATTACGCCCCAAAGCTTTTTACGGGTTTAATAACCAATTTAAAACCGGATTGGAACGGCATTTACGCTTACGGATGCAAAATTTATCCTTTAAACGTAAAAAGGTCCCACAACGCGAATTTTAAGCATTTTAAAATTAACCTTTGTATTGGGGTTGGATATTTGGTAAGTTATTAAGCTTTTAACATTTACCGGATTTGGATTCCGTTAAAAAAAAAGTAATAATTACAAAAAACGTTAAATTTAATAAAAAAAGCTTTTTTAAAGGCAAGCAAAAAAAGGACCCAATTAACGTAATTACTTACAATTTGCTGGTTAAATACGACGAAACGGAAAACCCGCTTGCAACCCGAAAAGGAATTGCTAATGCGCTAGGGCTTTTTTAACCGGAAAAGCTTTAAGCACCCATTTTCGCTACTAAATATTAAGGTTAAAAATTGGGGGTAAAAAAGCTAGGTTTTATCGTAATTATAAAGGTTAAAGCCGTAAAGGATTCGGCTAACGGGCCGAATCCAAACGCGCATAAATTTTTAATTCCAAATATTTTAAAAAATAGCTATAAAGCAAAGCAAATGCGTAATACGGGCTTTTTACATGTAAGCAATTCGTATTACGGCCTTATACGGCCCGGAAAAAGCGATAACTTTTTGCCGGTAAAGGGTAAAGGTAACGACGAGCCCGAAAAACGACCTTTAAAACCGTTAAGGCTGGCTTTACTTTACAAAGCAACAAACCGGTCTTTGCTTACCCCAAAACCGGATATACTAATTGCAACCACAAACGGCACCTTTGCGGCGCCCCCAATCGCAATACCAAAAGCGTTTAAAACTTTTAAAGGTTTATTTAAAACAAACCCAAACGAGCAAAAAGCGCCGCCTTCCTTTTTTCCTCCGGTTAAAAAGGGCAAAGGCCAACCCCGCAAAGGGACGGGCCCTTTGCTTTTGCCCAAAGCCTTTTTTTTTAACGCGCTTTTACCGGATTCGTCGATAATTACGTTTAAAGCGATCCGCGCCGTAACGCGTACGGCCGCAAAAAAAAAAGGAAAAAAAAAAAAAAAAAAGGAAAGCAAGCAACGTAATAATTTTAATAACGCCATTTTTTATTACGGCTTAACAATAACGTTTAACGCTTCCAAACCGAAAGTTAAAAACGCTGCTTTTAAAATAAGCTTAATAAACGAAAGCTAACGAGCTTTTTTCGATACGTATTTGCTTAATTAACAAACGGTAATTAAAAAAAATAATTTTGGCTATTGCCCGGCTTACGAAATAATCGCAATTGCCGTAACGAAAATATCGAAGCGCAATAACCTTTAAAAAAACAAACGGTTGCACCGAAATAAATTACAACGAATTCCAAAATTTTAGCAAAAGCTTAATACGCACCCGCATAAAAAGGAATTTAAATAATTTGCTTTCGGAAAAATTAACGAATTATTAAAAAAAAGAATTTGGAAAAAAATTTCGAAAAATTTATTTGGTAGCAAAGCTATCGACATTGCTTAATTATTTATTTATAAATTCGACGAAAACGGCTACGTTACAAACTATAAATCCCGCGCGGTAATTAAAAATAATTAATAATTTAACGGTTTGGAAAAAACTTACGCTATTACGCTTATAACCAAAAGCTTTAAAATTATAATAGCAATTATAGCTTATTTCGATTTCGAAGCGCACCAAATTAACGTTAATAAAGCTTTTTTTTACGCAAAAATTAGCGATAACCATACACCCGTTTACGTAAAGTTCCCCCCTGGGTATTACCGAAAAGGGTTTGTAGCCCGGCTTAAAAAAGCCTTATACGGGCTACGGAATTTACCGAAATTGTAATACCTAACCTTCGAAAAAACCTTTAAAAAGCTAAAGCTTATCCCGTTAACGGAAAAGCTTTATTTATTTATAAGCACAAAACGTAAGGTTTTTTTTTTCCTATACGTTAACGACATAATTATTTTTAACCGTATTACGCATTTAAAAATGGCAATAAAAGTATTAAACGGTTTTAAAAAAAGTACAAAATAAAAAAAAACCATTTAAAATTTTCCTCGGGGTTTAAATCGTAAAGGACAAAAAAATACGGATAATAACCTTGCATTATAACTTTTACATTAACAAAATCGTTAATACCTTTAACTTTAAGAACAAAAGCGTAAAGCGCTTTTTTTTGCCTAGCTAAACGCTTAAAAAAAACTCGGGGGTAACGATACCCGCCAAAATCCTGGCCATGCAAAAAAAAGTTGGGTTTATACTTTATACGGCCATTATTATCCGCCCAAACGTTGCTTTTGCGAGCGCAAAATTTTCCAAATACTTTATAAACCCAAGTAAAAAGCATTTAAAAGCGATAAATTACACCCTTTTGTATTTAAAAGGGTCGAAATTTTATTGCATCCGGCTAAAAAACGTCCCAAGGTCCGACCATTTGCTTTTTGCCTTAAACGCCTTTTTCGCTAACGATAAAAAAACGAAAAGGTTATTTAAAAAATACGTTATATTTTTATTTAAAAAGCCCGTAGCGTAAAAAGCAAAAAAACAAACCACCGTTACAACGTTTATTACAAAAGCAAAGCTTTTGGCGTTTATAAAGTTCGGAAAAAAAACCATCGCTATGCAAAAGTTTTTCCAAAACCTGCGCCTGGAAATTAATATTTTTTAAAAGCTTTGCTATAACAACATACAAACGATCCGATTGGTAATCGAAAAGGGCACCCGCATTAATACGGCTTTAAAATACGTGGATATTATAAACATATAGCTACGTTAAAAGTACCAAAAAGGAACGTTTAACGTGGTATATTTTAAAACCGCTTTTATACCAATAAACGGGCTTACCAAAAACCTTCCGCTTTACAAATTTAAAACATTTAAAATTGCTTTAAGGTTGTACAATTCCTTTAAAAACGGGTTGGCAAGCTTAATACGCAACCAAAAACTTCGAAGCAAATACCAAAAGCGTATAACGTTTGCATAAAAGCACAACGCAAATTCCTTTTTTATTAATTAGCATAAAGCATGCCGGTTTTAAACAATAAAACGGTACTTAATTATAACGCGTGCAATTTTCAAAAGCGCTATACCTTTTTTTTATTCATTTTTCCTTTTTATCCTAACTTTAGCCCTTACCCATTATTTAATAAATAAAAGCATTTTTATAAAAGGAATAGCCCCAAGCTATTATAATTTTAATGCCATTTTTTTAATTTCTTTCGTTATTATTACCATTTTCCTTTTTTTTGGGGTTGGGCTACGAAAAACAGGATTATTTCGACGGAAAACCTTTTTATTCCTTTTTTTAGCCTTATTTTCCTGCTTGTTGCCCGGTTTCGGGTAAAGCTCGAAAAAATGGCTTACTACTCTTTTAAACTTTTTAATTTTAAAGCAAAAGCTACCCAAAAGCTTTTTTTGGAATAAAGCAATTGCAATGCGCAATTAAGGCAAAAAAGGGAAAGGGTTGCAACGGTAGTTGCTTTAAGCATATTAAACATACCGTAAAGTACAACCATCCCAAAAAAAACGCGCTATGGGTTTATTGCTGCAAAAGCCCCAAAACCTTATTAAAAAGCTTTTGGTGCATTTATCGCATAGGACCGCGCGGGGAATAGTACTATCGGGAAAGTTAATTAAAACGTTTTTATTAAAAAAAAGTTAACGGTTTTGCTAAAAAAAAAAGCTAAATAGCATTTTTTTTAAAGATTAAAACGAAAAAAAAGGGGTAATTAGCATAAAACCCGCGAAAACGGTTAGGGACGAACTAATTTAACTATTTACCTTCGTTTTTTTATTCGCTTTGCGCTTCCGGGTATCGGGGAAAACGACGGGCTTATCGTTATTATCGTTATTTTTTTAAACGAACCGATTAACAAATTTATTGGAATTAAAATCGACCTTAATCGTTTAACGAATAGGCCAATTAAGCCCAAAGCTTTTGCTTAATTTAACCGGAGCTTAAAAAGCACCGGTTGGGTTAGGTTAGGAATTAAAACGAAAGGTACGAAAAGTAACAAAAATAACCGGAAGCTCGAAAACGGTTACGGTAATATTAATTAAAATTTAAGTTAAAAAACGGCGCAAAGCTTTTATCCGCTTAACGTAACAAGCCCAATTAGCTTTAACCCGTTTAACGCTTTCGGCAAACGTACGCGCTTTTATCGTTTTAATCGTTTGGGCGTTATTTTAAGCCTTTTTGCGGGCAATTTGTTATTTTCGCGCGTTTTTTATATTCCGTTGTTTATTTTTTTCCGCGGGGGATTTATTTTTCCTTTGCTTATCTTTTTCAACCTGTTAAGCTTTTTTCTTTTTTTTAAATAATGCTTTTTCCGTTTGTTTAGCTTTAATTGCTAAAATAGCTATAACCGTTTGCAAATCCGCATTATACGCGCATAAAACAAAATTAACAAAAAAGCAATAAATTAATGGGAAAGCAAAAAGTTACAATTTATTTTTTTGGGTTTAAGCCCGGTTAAGCTTTTTGCGTTTAGCGCGTTTTCGAACGGTTGTACGCGTCGTTTTATTACCGGCAATACCCATTTTTTAGCCAATTTATTAGCACCGTACGACGCTTTTAAAACATTACGCCGCCGCGTAAAGCACTTACGATTGCTTGCTTTTGCTTTTGCAAAAATTTTTATATTAGCAAAAGCCTAAACGATAGGAACGAAAGCGTAAAAACTTACGAATTGGTAAAAAAATGGTGGTAAAAAGGAAAAAAAAAAGGCCGGAACGAAGTAAAAAAAAAAAGGTTTTAATTGCTACGCTTACCTTTTTCCGGTAATGGCTAAAATATTTGCCTCGTTACTTTTTATGGCTAAAGCATTTGCTTTATTGCTTTTAACAACGGGGAGCGTTTATTTCGTTACTTTTCGAAATTAATGCGCTTTTACGGTTACCCTTTAAAAGCAAAAAACGCTTGCTTCGTTACTTTTTAAAATTAATACGCTTTTACAATTAACTTTTAAAAGCGCGGTAAGCTTTTAAATCCTACGCTATTAACATAGCAACCAATTTCCCTTTATTTTATTTACAAATAACCTAAAAGGCTCGCTTAAAGGGTGTATTACAAAATAAACAATATATATTGTTATAAAAAAGCTTTAAGCATAAATATTAAATGCTTAAAGCATTGGAAAAGCGGTTTCCCTGCCTGGAAGCGTATAACGCTTCCAAGCGTTAGGAAGGAAGCTTAGTAAGCAAGGAGGACAGGGAGTTACGTGTATATAAAGGGCAAAGGCCCTTACGGGACCCTGCACTTTAAATCCTTTCCTCTTTAGAGCATATCAACCGGAATAGCCTCACACCGTGCCTATCCCTTCTGCCTGCAACAAGAATGTATCCCTTGTTCCCGCCGTCGTGGTAGCGAGGTGGTGGTCGTGACTGGGTTCTATTGTCGATGAGGCATTGTTGGTAGGAGCAAGTTCCATCAACGAGATATGCCCCGGGCTCGCCTTGGTGTTCCAGCGAATCGCTTTTGTAGAGAGGTCGATCCCAGCGCCCCCTAAATCGGTGGAAGGTCGAGGGACGGTGCCCAACAGCTTGCAGAGCATCGGTAGGAAAGCTGAAATGATTGCGATGCTAGTTTCGAGGATGGATAACAAGACAATAGGCCCTATATTGCCTGCTGGGGTCGTTAGCAACGAGTGCGTTGGGGCAAGAGGGGAGGGTGGTAGCCGAAGAGCCCAGTATGAACATACAGATATCACCTCCACCACGAGGATAAGATGGGAGGTACGTAAGACGGATGATGCTACATACGGACGCCCTGGGTTCGCTGTTGGCACGGAGCACCTGATAGATCCAAATTGTAGGGGAAAGTGGCGGGCAAGACTCACAAGACCCCAAGAGACAGGATCACGGCGACAAATCGTTTGACAACCTTTGGGATTCTGACATGGCCGAGAATAACCACAGAAATGATTGCCACTGCGATATCTGCGATTATGCTGACTGCCGAGACCAGATAAAAACCTCCGACGACCACCGCCGTGTTGTGACATAGCTCTTGTTCAGCAGTCCAGACCGCCTGGATCGGGGAGCACTGAGCGAGCACGCCAGCGAGGAAGGCTACCGCAGCGGCGACGGCAAGCCCTATCAAAAAGACCAAAAAGAACCGTCTGCGCTGGTAGGAGGTAAGACGGAGCAGTGCGGCACATACGCTGGCCTTGATGAGAACCCAGGAGCTGATATAAAGCAGATGCCAGATGAAGGCGAGCTGCATGAAAAGAGTTAGCGGGCGTCATCATACAGCAAAGTTCAGCATGGAAGACATGCATACCTTCCGGCCTCTTCGGAGCACAACTGTGTTTATTGTGGCCTCCTCGGGGGCTCCGACCCCTGAAAAGGCACCATATCCGACCACTGCGTTTTGTAGGAGGTCTACCAACTAGTGCAGATGAGATAGCGTCAGCAGGGCCGCGGAAAATATGGAAAGAATGTGATGAAGGTACCAAAGCGGCACATATCAGCACGTCCTCAGGCCCCAAACATCTGGCCGACAAACGAACTCGGAGACGGATGGCGACCACGATCATGGATATTAGTGGAAGCGAAAGGCTGACTCCTAAAAGAGGGCCGAGAGCCCCCTGGGATATAGTAGATTTAATTCCATAGCTGGCACTCCTCGGCGTGTCGTGTTGGAGAAAGGTCTTCAAGTAGAAAAGTCCTCTCGCTAGATAAAAGATCTGGAAGAGGAAGGAAGAAGACCGGGCTGGAAACAAACCAGTAGAGTGGGAGGAGAGACATGACGGACGTTCGTAAGATATTATGAAGACAGATGCGTCCGTAGGTCTTCCTCTCCCGTGAGGCCAAAAAGCAAAACGCTCTGGCGGTGGCGTTTCTTGTGGTCCCACGCCATACCTACACCTATCAATACTACCCCTGGATGCTGTGAGGGAGACGGGCAAGAGTGACAACAAGCCGGCGCACAAGTCCAGCGCATGTGACCAGACGTCGCTGCGGGCTATTGAGCGCTGGGCTTGCCGAGACCCCCAGCCGGGACCCGAGGGTATGGTATCACACGGTTGGCACTTCAGCGCCTCCAGGGGTTGTCTAGGGCTTGGCCGTTGGTGGCCGAATCACGGCGGCAGGACGCGGGGGCCCAGATTCAGGCGGAGGCGAATTTTCGAGACATGTTGGGCTCGCTGGGGCCTGACCCTCATCTTCCGCCTCCCTTGGGTGTAACATCGTTGCGGCAGGGGCCTTGCCGGGGCAGCAACGCGATAATCGAGAACAGAGATCGAGGCACTGAGGTTCGTAGCCGGTGAATGTGAGCTATCAGCCACCACCCCTTGATTTCTCCGCACAGAGCTGCCTCTTCCGGGCAGTCCACGCGAGGAAGGCATGAATTCGACGTGTGTAACACAGAAGGCCAAAAGGGAGCTGCGATGTCGAGGATCGAGCGTCGAGGGCGCCGCCTTGTTCTGCAGCCTCGACTTGGCGTCTAGTGGCGTTGACAGAAGCGCCGGCCGGCGCCTGCTGGACGGCGACAGCTGCCCGAGCCCAAATTCGGGGAGCTGCCGATCGGGGGCCGGGGTCGGGGAGGAGGCGCGTGGGCGCGTCTACGCGTAGTGGGGGAGCAGATTACAGCCCAGCCCGACCAGCTGCACGGTCTCAGTTGTCGCAACAGCACTAACCCCCACTGTGAAATAGCCTGTGCTCCAGCACTGCTGTCAAGCTAATGGTGGGGGTCAGTCGGTGAATCGATGGTCGGGGTTCTCAAATTATCTGCGAGGTCCTTCTCCAAGCCTCGTGTTCGTGACAGTGCTAGCGCTGCCTGTTGGTTTATTTGCTAGCCGATGAGCGGCAAACAGGCAGCAGCACGCAATCGCGAATAAGCTGAACAATCGGACAATCTTCTCCATGTTGCTGTTACACAGAATTGGATACACAACAACTGGGCTACCACGGCAACTACGGATTGCGCGCAAGCCTCCTTCCTTCATCCCAATGCACGTCTGACGTCACCAAGCACAGCACTCCAGGTTTCTCCACGACGTCATTGTATTCGGAGCTTCGCATGCATCGACAACCAACGCGCCCAAAGAAGACGCTGCTCACGTGGAAGTGCAACAAGACCTAGCGTTATGGGCTCGGATAGATGGTAGCTTGGTATAAAAAGCATCGACATCCTTGTCACATTTTGCGTTGCGACACCTCGCACTCACACAGCAAAGAACTTCAACCGCAACACATTTCCATTCACCTATCAAGTACCCCACAATGTCCACCAACACCAACACCCAGTCGCAGTCGCAAGAGAGCCAACAGCCCGGCCTCCTGGCAGGACATGCCGAATACATCAAGGGCATTGCAGAGGTAGGTCACGGAACATCCTACCCAGTCTATGTCGCCAAAGGGGGGGGGTTTTTGCAGTCGCTGATGCCCACCTTCCACTCCTCAAACAGACCGCAGTCGGCTCCGTCACTGGATCGCACGCTTGGACATCATCAGGCGAGCAAGATAAGGCACATGCGGTCCATTCAATGAAGGCCGCTGGCGAGCAAAGGGACCCCGCCTCGCAGGGCTACGGCAAGTTCGAGGAGATGGCCGGACGCGCAACAGGTTGTGCCGGGATGGAGAAAGAGGGCGCCGCCAGCGTCAAGAAGGACTAGTCGTGCCACCCCGGTGCCAGAAGCCCTGAAGCCATATGCACCAGCTCTATGCGCAACCGGGGATAATGCCCCAGATGATAGAAACACAGCGCAGACGAACAATACGTAAATGATGCCGATGGTTACAACCTAGCGTAACCGCCAGAATAAGAATAGCCCGTTGGTTCAACGTGCCCGTTTGCTACTTGGTCCCATGCTTTCCTTGTGATCGCGCTTGTGAGAAGGGACGATGTGGCTACAGGTGGCTTTGATTGGCCGCGCAGAATCCGAGTGCGTCATTTCAAGCCCCCAAGAGCAAGCAGGTCCGACAACCGTCACGGTTGTCGCCACACGCTGGTCGCGTCGCAAATCGAGCGTGGCTGCCGAGCAGGATCCAAGAGCAAAGGTTCGTCAAATCCGTGGAAGCGTGCGGCGGACAGAATTTTGGTTTCTGTGTGGTGCAGTTTGCGCTATCACTCAAGCAAACACCACCACGGTCCTCAAACTTTCTTCCTTCCTATCCAACAACCGAACCGCCCTAATGATCTAACGACGAAAACGAATAACAACAATATTGATCAATATCTTGTCGGGAAAGGAGCCCAAGATGGCACGAACTTTACTTCTCTGTTTTATCCACGGCTTCAAGGTTAGTGTTAGCCTTGGGAGTGAACCCCGTGCTAAGGCGACACTGGCTAACGTTGTTTTTGCAACCACACGCCCTACCCTCAAATATCAGGGAAACGACAACACCTTCCAGGACTTTCCAGAGGTACGATCGAATTTCTAAAGTTGCCTGTCGCCGGTTCACGTCACCACCCTAGGAGATTTTCACGGACTAACGTGATAGCTGGCAGGACTTGAAACGCGCCGTCGCCAAAGAGCTGCCGGGCCAGAATGTTCAATCGGTCGTTTACCCCAAGTACGAGACAAAGGGGGAGCTCGACCAGTGCACAGAGCAGTTCTTGGGATGGTGGGTTCAGCACTTCTGGCAGCAAACAGAGGCTCGTAGACTGATCCCGTCATCTGGCATAGGCTCAAGGAACGGGTGATGGAAATTCGCAAGGTCCACAGCGAGAAACCATGGCCGCCGAGTGATCGCGACGTCGGCGTCATTCTCGTCGCGCATTCGATGGGGTTCGCAACCGCTATCTCCCGGTGTTTGGCCTGTGTAGTGGCGCTGGCTGGTCTGTGCTAACCCAGGCTACTAGAGGGTTTGTGGCATCGGACACGCTATTTCGGATCCTCGACGAACGCAGAAAAGATCCTGCCGAGAAGAAAGGCACCGAGGCTATCGATGGCGACGAGACAAGCAACGGCGCCGAGCAAGATGACGACCCCAAAAGGCCACTCTTCCCTCTGATACAGGGCGTCCTCGCGTTCGATACCCCCTACAACGGACTGGCGAGATCCATGTTCGTTTACGGCGCCTTTAGCAACTACAACAAGGTCAGCTCCGTCTTCAACGTCATGACGGCCCTGGCCGCCGCCCCCGCCGGCTTGTCCAAGCTCGCGGTCAAGCGCGCCACCAAGGCCGCCACGTCTGTTTCGCGCGCCTCGGCCGTCGCGAACCCGGGCTGGAAGGCGTGGCAGCTGCTGGCGGTCCGCACGGGCACCGTCGGCGCCATAGCCGCCGGGGGCGTGGCCGCCTACGTGCACCGCAAGGAGATCGCCGCGGGCCTGCGCAGCGTCCGCGACCTGGACCGCGCCACCATCGCCGAGGGGTACCAGCGCGGCGTCGGGGCCCTGGGCCAGGGGCTCGCGTACATCAATCGCGGCAACGTCGGCAAGTCGTACGCCTGGCTGGCGGACCACTTCACCTTCGTCGGCGCCCTCGTCAAGCCCCGCGAGCTGGAGCACCGCCTCGGCCGCCTGGCCGCGCTCAGGGGCATTGGCGTGTGCGACGTGTATGCGTCTCTCGGAGAGAACGGGTACTGGAGCGGGGGCTACTTCGTCCCTGAGCGGACCTTTTGCGCCGTTCCGGGCCCTGAGGCGCCAGCCGCCGGCCTGTTTGACCGACGCGTCGTCGAGGGCGGGGAGGACGAGGTGGATACGCACATGGCCATGTTCAAGCCTGACAAGAACACAGGGTATGACGACATGACGGGGCGCGCTGCCAAGCTGGTCGCGACCTGGTTCAACAGTGACGAGCCCCTGTTTGATGACCCAAAGTTCGCCGAGGACAAGGTGGACACGGCCGAAGAGAGCGAGGAAAAGAAGATCACGGTCACGGACGACGGAGTCGCAGTCTCTGATGCCGCCCCGGAGGTGTCATCCGAAGTCGAAAAGAAAGCCGGCATGGACTCTACCGAGACGGCGGATTCTGGTGCTGGAGGAGACGGTGATGCCGCTGCGAGCATCGAGCTTCCTGACGAGTCACCCATCGACATCGCGGCGGCCGCGTCGCTTGTGCCCCTTCCAGACGACCGAGAAGGCTCGCCCGATGGCCAGGCAGTCCCGGATGAGAAGGAGAGGCAGACTTATCTGCGCCACCTCTTTGGCGTCGCAGAGCAGGCCGGCACAGGTCTCAAGGCGGCCACGGCGACGTGGTCCTCCCGCCTGCCAACGAAGCTCCCGGCGATGGAGCAGATCCCCCTGCCGTCGATGCCTAGCATGCCATCCATGCCCTCGGTACCGAAGCCAAGCATGCCGACATTTTCCCTGTTCTCCAAGAAGCAGGGCTCCAAGGATCAGCTCACCGGGCAGGCAGCTGACCAGACGGTCGGCGCTGCGGACGGCAGGGGTGATCAGCCGGGGAAGAGTGTTGGGCAAGATACTGACCCCTCTACTTGAGGATCCCGGGTGGAACGTGTTTCGCGGCAGGGGCTATGAAATGGCGGTCGACACTGGCCAAGACTGGTGACACTGGCATAATACCCCTTCCAAGTTGTGGCCATCTGGGCCGAAGTGCTTGTTACGATTCTAGAATTTGTCACAATGGCCTTGATCTTGCTTCCCACGCTTCCTTAGCGTTGTCTCCTTTCCCCGGACAGTGTGCATATCCCTTTCTGGGTGATCAACATTGTGAGAGTGGATTGAGATACCGTTTTTGGCAGTACCGTAATGCAAGCCGACATTGAGATCACCAGTGTTAGAAACGACGCTCCTCGTGAAAACGCGTGCGCCGAAGTCGAGCCTAGCGGCTCCTGTCCCCAAGGGAGGAGCGGGAGAGACGGCACAAGAGACTCGAGCGGCAGTTACTGTACATAATTTCGCCTTATGACAGCAATCTTCTCGCGAGCAAATGATACGCACCGACCCCGTTGGACCGCACAGGCCAGGCGACTACTGTCGAACCAAGCACGCCCCGCCGATCGTCATTGAGCGCCAAGCAATTTCCTGTAAAGATCTCCCCACGAGATGACTGGCGCGCGAGCACGCTAGCCGTTATACGCTGAAACGATCTTCTTTCCAGACAAGCCAAATCAGGCACACCAGCTCGGCCGCAGCCGCACTGGACCAGCTCTCAGACATACGGTATGAACTGCTAGCACCAAGATCGGCGTCGCAGCCCGCCAGTTGGGCGGGGAGACCATCCCAAGGGGTCGGGCAGGAGGCAGGTCAAGCCGGGTGCGACGACTGAGACGTCGGGTTTAAAAAGGACCACGATGCCCTTTCCTTTCCGTCGACTGGAGAAGGACATCCAGCACATCTGCACTCCTCATCTCCAGTCGCTCTCTTTTGTGCACTACAGTGTACCCTCGGTGGACACAGCCGCTCGTTAGCACTTCGTTCTCTACTAGGGCGCCTGGACCCTACCAGCCCCGTCACGTTTCGACCAAACCCGCGCAAATATGCTCTTCTCTAAGCTCGCCCCGGCCCTCGGGGCCCTTGTTGGCCTCGCGCAGGCCTCCCCTGCCCCCCTCAATGTCGTAAACGCTGCCCGGCAGGGTGACCTCGAGGTCCGGACCATCAAGCCTTGCGTCTTCAACACGGCCAAGGCCTGGCAGCACGAGACCCTGTTCGAGGGGTAAGTTTACAGGGAACAAAGTTTCGACATCATGTCCCAGGTGCTAACACAAGTTCTATGATGCAGTATCTGCGGCGCCGGCAAGAACGGCGGCCCTCCCGAGCGACTGGGCCTGCACATGCCCAAGGCGGCCATGTCGGGTGACATCCAGGTCGCCATGATGGACAAGTTTCTGGCCGAGCCCACTGTCCGGCTCGACCTGGGCGGCCTCGAGGCCTACTTTGAGGTGGAGATCGACGCGTCCGCCAGCCTCTACCAGACCGTCGAGCTCATGGCGTCGGGCAAGCTCGACCTCGGCGTGCCCGGCCTGGCGCGGGTCAAGGTCGGCGCGGCCTTTGCCCTGGATCTCGTCGTCGGCGTCTCTGCCGCCATCGACGTCAAGGCCGGCTTCTACGTCAAGTTCCCCAAGGGCTGCTTCGCCGAGATCAGCACCGTCGAGCAGAAGATCGTCAGCCACTCCTTGTATGTTGGACCTGTTAAAAAGAAAATCCATGCATAATCCCTAAGGCAGCAACTAATCTTTACTTCAGCGAGGGCCTCATCGCCAAGCCCATCCAGCCCGAGGTCGGCGCCCACGTCGACCTCAGCGTCGCCATCGACCTGACCCTCGGCCTGCGCCTGCGCGCCGCCGTCGGCATCGATGCCAGTATCGGCCTCAAGGGCCTCGACATCGGCGTCGGCGCCGGCGTCGCCGTCTGGGTGAACCTCTTCAGCTGCACGCACGCGCTCGTCAAGACGTCGGCCTGCCCGGTCCAGGTCGAGGAGAAGCTCGCCCTGAGCGCCGGCGTCGCCCTCAAGGTCGACGTCTCCGTGGGAGAGTGCCTCAAGCTGGAGCTCGCTCCCGCCGTCTTCGTCACCCTCTACGCGGCCGAGTCCGTCGCCATCTGCTGCCCCCTGCGTCACCCCGAGTCCGGCAGCGGCTCGTCTGGCAGCGAGTCTGGCCCCAGCCCCAGCCACGGCCCCAGCTCAAGCCTTGCCGCTCTCCCCTCTGCATCGGGGACTGGCGCTTTCCCCTCCGCTGGATCCGGCACCGGCCTGGCCCCGATCCCTGTCGCCACCACCACCGGCTCAGGCCCCGGAAACAACGTCCTGCCTTCCAAGCCCATCACCTCGGGCCTTTCCGCCGGCACCGCTGCTCCTGACGCGTCAGCCGACATATCTTCTTCTCTGGCTCCCGCCGATATCGCCGAACCGTCTGCCACGACCGCCCACACCGGCCTCCCGACCGGCGGCAGCGCCATCTCCGGCGCCGCCCCCACCACGACCATGCCCGCCAACGTGACCAACGGCCTCGTCACTTCCACCGTCCGCACCACCAAGACGTACACCATCACGTCGTGCGTCGCCTCGGTGCCCAACTGCCCGGCCTCGCTCACCCAGAAGATCGTGACGTCGACCGTCATCGCCACCACCACCGTCTGCCCCGCCACCATGACGGCCGCCAACGCCACCGCCGCGGTGCCCATCAGCAGCACGGCCGCCACCATGACGGCCATGGTCCCCGTCCCCACCGTCTCCGTCGTCACCGTGACCCTGACCACCTGCCCCGTGCCCGTCACCTCGACCTTCACGCCCCCGCCGAACTGCCCGACCCCGGAGCCGACCGTCACCATCACCGACCACGTGCCGGCCGAGACCAAGACCGCCCAGAAGCCCCACCACCACAAGTCCAAGACCTCGGTCGGCACCGGCTTCCCCGCCCCGACCGGCGGCGACTACCCGGTCCCCACCACCCCGGGTCCTTACCCGACTGGCAACCCCGCGCCCCCGACCGGCGGCGCCGCTTCAGGGTCTGGTGGTCTGCCGACCCCGCCCAAGTCGACCGTCCCTGCCTCCCCCGTCGCTGCCAGCGCCGGCCGTGCCGTTTTTGGCGGCTTCGCCATGGTCCTTCCGGTGCTGGCCATCCTTCTGTAAATCGAGGGATGGTACCCGAGTGTAATGTCAGGTGTGGATATTGGCTCGTAACTGTCACAACGTTGATGTAGTCAAGCATCTATATCCCCAGACTCCATAGTATAAAATCTAATTTGTGTCTTTTCGCGATTGGTTGCTTGCTCCGTGGTGTCAGTAAAACAGATCCCTCGCATTTTGCATGGCACTTTAGCTGAATGTAATCGAGTGTATGCCACCACCCTTCTCACTCATTGCACCAGACGGGACTATCTCCCCGTGGACTTTCCCCCATAGGATGGATTCAGGGACATGATCTCATTCTCTTCCGAATTTTCATCGAAGCAGACGTTGTCGTTTCTATCCACTGTCTATGCTTCTGCATCATGCATGGACTCCCGCCCGACGGCGCCGGATTTTATCTGCCCTTCCGACAGAATCCCCGACCGGGATCATATTTTACTCCTTCCCTTATAGCTTTCGTGTCCTCCTCTCGCGGCTCTACCACTTGGCCTCCTTGCGGTCAAGAAAACCTTTGAGGATGCCGACAATTTTGTCGAGCGAGGCCAGGTACTCGCCCAGGTCGGCCTTGACCTTCTCCTCGTCGCTACCGACCTTGGCGTAGAAGTCCTTGCGGTAGGGCACGGCGCTCATGGCGGCGCTGAAGACAGGTTTCACGATGAAGCTGTGGTGCGGCTTGAGCGTCTCGCTATAGGCGGTGCGGAACGAGTCGGCGAGCTCCGTGGTGGCCTGGGCCAAGTTCTGGCTTAGGGCGATGCATACGAACTCGAGGCCGCTAGACATCATCTCGAGGTCAGCAATCGACTAGCCATCCACGGCTCGGTAGTCTGAAAGGTTGAACTGTGTATCAGGCAATGGCGGGGAGCTCCATCTCACCGGATAAGCCACAGGAGTCCCTCGGTGGCGACGTGCTTCTTCGTCTTGAGCTCGTTCAGGACCAGCTCCTGGATCGTCTCGGACTCGGCGGGGGCGGCAAGGAGACGGTCACGGATTTTCTGAATAGTAGAAATACCAGGGACTCGGTTAGCACGTTGAGCCTGACAGTGGCCTGGAAGGCCCGGCAAGAGGGATACTGAAGCTATTCGCACCTTGACGTTGCCCAGCATGTCATTCTTGACAGGGGTGAAGGCGACCGAGCCGAGCAGGTCTGCCAGGGCGTCAGCAGCTGGAGTAGCACAAGGGACCCGAGACGGAACATGTCGTTATTACCGAAGATGGTGGTCAGGGACTCGGCAGCATCGAGGAAGGCAGCTGTGTCAATGGCATTATCCTTCTCTTTGTCGACGGGCACGTCAACGAACGACTTCTTGAGGGTATCGACAAAGGTGCCGCCGGCGGGGATCACGGTCGCGGAAGCCATCTTGACTGTGGTTTCTGTTATCAGGAAAGGCGAGCTAGAAGTTGGCAGCAACGGTCTGGACTCTCTGGTAGTTGTTTGGAGGAGCGGTCAGTTACGAGGCGTCTCGGAGGGGAACTGGAACCGGGGACTGGAGCCAGGAACTGGAGCCAGGGACCCCACGGGCAGCCATGACGTCCGACAGGCCACGACCCCTCAATTGGGCCGGCCTAGATGCCCCGCTCTGGAGCTTGGTATAGTCACGTGCGAGGTATCATGTGATTGCGTGTTTGGTTGATTGCTTACGTGCATTGGCGGGTTGGAAAGAGTATCCCGACTGAAAATCGCTGAATATCGAAATGGTCTGCAGGGATTGTATGAACTAAATAGGTGTGCGGCTGTGCTGGTGCGGGAAGGCTGAAAATGTCAACCTCAAGCGACAACGGTCAAAATGCTTGGTGGTCAAGCAATGATCTGAAGTCTGAGCATTGCCCGGCCTCATCAACTGCTCGTTGTAAACGTGGTGTTTGGGTAATATTGTTTCCTTTGGTGGCTCGAATTGTATAGTATTTCCCGCGGGTTTGTCTAAAGCGCCACTTGAGGCAGACCACCTGTCACCCAGCAAACAAACGGTTTGCGCGGTCCAAACCTTCCCTTGACCATTTAATTCACTTCACTGTACCAGCTTTTCTCGGGACTGGGTGAGCCATCAATATGCGAATGACAGCAGGAAGCCGCTATCCAAGTGACGTCGTCGCCGTGGTGTCAGCAGTTGTCTGACCGAGCTTGGGCCTCCCGCCTGGCACTGTTCGAGGCTTTGCGCCCCTCCACACGCACGCTATTAGGCGCCGTTTCATGCTGTGAAATTCATCGCTGTTCGTCATGGTGCCAAGTGGCGTTGCTAGCTGAGTAATATCAGGACTGAGAGTCTCACGTGCAGGCCTGCCTGAAGTGGACAAGACCTGATTCCGATGGCGTGCACTACATATACATACAAACTCGGCTTCACCATCATCGATGTGTCTCTCTTTCGTGTGATAGGCCTGGGAAGGGTGGGATTCCAGCCAGGGCGTCCCGTTGTTCCCGCCCAGGAAGGCTGGTGCCGAGTTGCCGGGCTAAGGTCGCCAGGGTTGTAGCCCACTTGTGCTGGGCGGAGTGGTGGTGGCGGCCTGGAATTGGCGAATCGGGCGTGGGGTCTATGACATCAATCCATAGGGCCAGCGGGCGCGCCAGCTGATGCCGCGCTATTCATAGCGCGCGCCGTGGATGGACTCGTCCAACTTCAATCAGCCGGTGTGCGTCTCCTCAGTTGCGCATTCTCAGACCTTGTTTTCTGCCCCGCATCATGTGGATTGAAGGAGACTGAGCCCACGCCGCATGCGCCAGCCGCACCCCTCCTCCCCCCTGTGCAGTGCGTCGATACTACCAGTGACTGCCCACAGTACATAATGTCGCGCCTCCCACGCACCTCGCGTCCAGAGCTTAGCGGCGGGCTTTTTTTGCTTGTTCCCCATTCACTCCTCAAGCCCGGATCGAGTACTGTGTACGCGCGTCCTCGACCCCGACTCCGCTCGTCGCCAACTTGAGCCGTACGACGCAGGCCCAGCGCGGGGAAACAGCTGAAATGTCGGGCTTCTTCCACAAGCTCAAGTCGGAGGTGTCGGAGCTGAAGGACAAGCTCGAGGGGACTGCGCTGCATGACGCAAAGGTTCGCCTAACCAACAAAAAGTAAGGTCCAGCAGGGCGAGCCTCTCTTGCCTGGCTCTCCGGGGGGTTCGTCCCGTTCCGCCCTCATGGAGACCAGCGGTTCACGAGTCTCACGAGTTCTGGCCCTTACCCACCGCGGCGGGCTTGGACGGCGGTGCTTGGCTCGAGTGCTAATGGGAGTATTGACGGCTGCAGGCATCAGATTGGCAAATTCACAAACTTGGTAAGCGTCGCAGCTTCCATCTCGATGTAGACGCGCCGTTGGACGTTGGGCAGTGGGTGTGGCGATAGCGAAGCCCTTGATCTGCCTTCCTCTTGTCGCTATTGCCCGGTCTCGGCTAACCACTGCTGGCCTTCCTGCAGTTCAACCCCGAGCACCGCCACGACGAGGAGCACGAGAAGGCATGCGACGAGAAGCGGACCAAGATCTGCGACTCCCACCGGTTCAAGTCCTTCTTCCCCGAGCGCGAGGACAATCTGGTGAAGTGGTATGTCGATGGCCGCGACTATTGCTGGGCCGTTAGTGTCGCCCTGGAAAACGCCAAGGAGACCATCTACATTGCCGACTGGTGGCTGTCGCCCGAGCTGTTCTTGCGTCGGCCCCCATACTACAACCAAGAGTGGCGCCTTGACCAGATACTCAAGCGCAAGGCCGAGGCCGGCGTCAAGATTTATGTCAGCGTCTATCGCGAGGTCGAGGCGGCACTGGCGTGCAACTCGGAACACACCAAGCATGCTCTACAGGCCCTCTGCCCCGAGGGTAGCCCCGGTCATGGAAACATCCGCATCATGCGCCACCCAGACCACAACGTTTTCGAGAACGCGGCCGACATGACCTTTTACTGGGCACACCACGAGAAATTCATCGTCATTGACTACGCCGTCGCCTTCATTGGCGGTATCGATCTGTGCTTCGGCCGCTGGGACAACCACCAACACCCCCTGGCCGACATGCATCCCGAAGGCGTCGCCAACGAGGTGTGGCCGGGCCAAGATTTCAACAACAACCGCATTATGGACTTCAAGAACGTGCAGGACTGGAAGCGAAATGAGCTTAGCAAGGCCGAGCACGGCCGCATGCCGTGGCACGACATCTCCATGGGCATCATCGGTCCTTGTGTGTACGACATCGCCGAGCACTTTGTTCTGCGCTGGAACTTTGTAAAGCGCGACAAGTACAAGAGGGATGACCGCTACGACTGGCTTGAGCTCCGTGGCCGCCAGGGCGAGAACGAGGATCTTGTCGGTGTTCAGCGACCGAAGCACCCCGTCGGCGAGTATATACTGCACCCCCTCTCGCCTGTCGAGGAGAAGGATCTCAACAACTGCGGCACCGTACATGCTCAAGTAGTGCGCTCCAGCGCCGACTGGTCCAGTGGTATCCTGAAGGAAAAGTCGATTCATAACGCATACGTGGAGGTCATCGGCCAGGCCCAGCATTACGTTTACATCGAGAATCAGTTTTTCATCACTGCCACCGGTGACCAGCAGTCACCCATTCACAACCAAATTGGCCGCGCAATCGTCGACGCCGTTGTCCGTGCGAGCAAGGAAGCCCGCAAGTTCCGCATCATCATTCTTATACCCGCCGTACCAGGATTCGCGGGCGACCTCCGCGAAGATGCTGCAACAGGCACCCGTGCTATCATGGACTACCAGTACAAGTCAATATGTCGGGGAGAGCATTCCATCTTTGAGCAAATTAAGAAGGAGGGTGTGGACCCTCAGAAATATGTCTTCTTCTTCAACCTCCGCGCTTACGACAGACTCAACAAGACACCGGCGGTGAAGCATCAGGAGGAAGTGGCCGGGGTTAGGTACCAGGACGTGCAGCGAGCCGAGGCCGAAGAGATCATGGGTAAAGCGATCCATGGCGCAGCCGATGGGGAGGAAGGACGTGACGCACACATGGGTACTGTCGCCGAGCAGACAGGCGAGGGCTCGGACCAGGCAACGGAACATGCCATCGACGCCAAGAGAAAGTTCGAGGAGGTCCAGGGGGAGAAAGAACACAAGACAGAGTCCAGCTATAGCGTGAGCCACCACGCCATGGCAGGCCCAGGCAAGCTCTCTGACGAGCCATGGGAGGGCGATCCCAAGGATGAGGTGGAAAACTGGATTCAGGAGGAGCTCTACATCCACTCCAAGCTGCTCATTGCCGACGACAGGGTTGTCATCTGTGGCAGCAGTAACCTCAATGACCGAAGCCAGGAGGGTCATCACGACAGCGAACTGAGTATCGTGATGGAGGACCGGAGGAAGATACAAACTCGGATGGATGGCCAACCCTTCGAAGCCGGTTATCATGCCGCCACGCTCAGGAGGTACCTTTGGCGGGAGCATCTGGGCCTGCTTCCTCCTCAAGACAACGACGCGTCCGACGACCCTAATGCTCAGCCGCCTGGGAAGGACTCACCAAACGACGTCTACGACAAGGACGAGAGCTGGGCGTTTGTCGAGGACCCGCTCGACGAGAAGCTCTGGGAGACGTGGACGAAGCAAGCTACGCAGAATACGGAGACGTTCCGGCACTTGTTCCATGTGGACCCCGACGATCATGGTAAGCGGCCTCGAACTTGGCAGAGCACCGCTCCCCCCGAGGCTATCCTGCCTGCATACTGACCTTTCCGTGCTCAACCGTTTCAACAGTCAAAACCTTTGACGAGTACGACCACTTCCGTCCCGCGAAGGGCGTGAAACCTGGCCACATCTATGACCGGTTCCTGCCGCCCGACGATATCCGGGAGAAGCTTGACCAGATCAAAGGACACCTGGTCTGGATGCCTATGGAATTCCTTGAGGATGCCGAGATGGCTGAACGGGGTCTGCAGGTCAACCAGTGGACCGAGAGTGTTTACGCATAGCCTCTCTGTCCACGCCACCAGGTGTTCAAGGGAACTTCCAGCTCATATTTACGTTTTTCTTCTTGCCGCCTGGCTTTTCTTCATCAAACCCTTGCAGCACTCATGTACGTATCCGGGGTTTGGGGTCATGATCTTACGAAACGCGGTTAATGACCAGAGTAATGAATAACCCATCAATAGCATATTGTGTCTAATGATGCATGCTGATTTGAAAATCATGGGGATACTTGTCACGGTCAACGAGAGCACATGAACACACGGCAATTTCAATTGCCCAAAATGATTATCTTATTACTCGTACAATATGGTGGCTCCTATGATGGCTGGGTAAATCCCAGTGGGATAGATCCGCGAGGATGCCAATTCTTATGTGGGGGGAACAATGCGCACAGAAGAAAGAAAAAAGGATGGACAGACACAGGCCAAAGTAGATCAGATGGGCTTGCCGCCCTGGCCATCATCGGTGGCGAGTTGCCAGTAGCCTCCGATCTCGCCAAAGGTCTGCTCCCACATGGGGATGAGCTCGTTGAGGTCCCTGGCCTCGACGTCGTACATGTCTGTGCACATGGCGGCACGGAAGCCGCTGCCCTTGGGGACGTCCATGTAGTCGGCGCCGTCGAACTTGATGCCGACGTTGACGCTGACGCGCGGGTCCTCGTCGGACGGGGCGCGCTTGTAGTGGCGGTAGTAGCCGCCCTGGGTGTCCCTGTTCCAGCGCATGACCTGCAGGTCGACCGTCTTGACGAGCCCGCCGTGCAGGAAGGCGACGCGGGCGTCGTCCGGGTGGTGCTGGGCGAACGAGTGGCCGCAGTAGAAGCCCTTGTTGAGGGTGCCGACCGAGGCGAGCCAGCGTTGGGGCCTGCCGTAGTCGGTGCGCAGGGCGTGCCAGGCGAAGCGGAACAGGTCCTTGTCGCCCAGCAGGATGCGGTCCCAGTAGGCGCCCTGCTCCGTGGCCCACCAGGCGGCCAGCTGGAGGTGGTACCAGTACCGGCGCTTGTCGACCAGCAGCTGGCCGCTCTCGAGCTCGTACTCGTCCATGCGGCACTGCGTGTTTGTGATGGCCCAGGCCGGGTCCTGCGGGTACGTGCGGGCGATGTCGGGCCAGAAGACGGTGCCGTGACTCTGGTAGGCGGCAGACTCCCAGAGCTCGTCCGGGTCGAGCACGGGGATGTTGTCGGCGTCGACGAGGAGCGGCTCCTGGAAGCGCGAGTTGACGAGCGCGGCCGTCTTGAGCTGGTAGTTTATGAAGGGGCGGTCCTTTTGCACGCGCAGGATGTTGTCGTCGGACGACAGGTCGTTGAAGAAGATGCGCGGCCACACGGTCGACAGGGACTGGCGGTGCTGCTCCGTCATCTCGGCCTCGCCGTAGTAGTGCACCTCGATGGCCACGCGCGACCGGACGCGCTGCAGCGCGCGCAGCAGCAGGCCGACGCGCTTAAAGGTGTCCTGGTTGCCGGCGAGCACGACGAGGCCGCGCTGGTTGGTGAAGCGGTGCTGCACGGCGCCGTAGGGGATCATGCCCTCGCGCACGAACTGGCGCCACTCGCGCCGCTTGGCCTCGACCTCGTCCTCGGGCCGGTCCCTGACGACCCAGTCGGCCTTTTCGTCGAACTGGAAGTCGACCTTGTCGGCGGGGCCCCAGGTGCACGTCTTCCTGGCCTGGGCGAGCGTGATGCCGGGCAGCTTGGCGACGGCCGCGAGGTGCGGGAGGAAGTCGTCGGCCCAGGCGAGCTTGTGGGCCTCCGAGTTGACCTTGGCGCCGGGGGACTGCGGCAGCTTCATGGCCGCGAAGGTGGTCCTAGACCTGGGCGGGCCCGTGTTGCTGGCCGCGTCCGCCGCCGGGGCGACGACGGCCGGGGCGACGGGGCGCGGGCGGGCGGCCTCGGGGAGGGTGTAGTGGCTGCGCTCGCGTGTGAAGTAGAGGACGATGCATATGATGGTGGCTGAGAGCAGCCAGGCTTTGAGGCGCTTGATTGCCATTGTGAGAGTGATTGCCCTTTGGGTCGTGATATCAGGGCATTCAAAGCTTTTGGTTGTGAAGATTTGAAGAGAGGTGGCTGGCGTCTCTGTTGATGGCTTGAGACGTGGTGTTTCTTTTTTCTCCCTCTTGTCGTTGCCTTCAGCTTGCTTTTTCTTCACCCTGCTCTGAGCTTCGTCGGCACCCCTCCTTCGCAGCCCTGTTGCTTGTCGGACTGCCGAGCGCCAGGCTGGCAAACAGAGATTGGTCAGGAAGCAGTGCAGAAACACGCGAATGGGAAGCAGAGCCCGCGGCTAGATGATGATGTTGGTGAAGCGCAGCGCCCGAATCAGTGCAGGGAATCTGAGCTGGAACTCATGTGGTGGTTTTGGCTTCCTCGCTCGGCCGTCCCCGCACTGCGCCTTCCCCTGCAAAAGATCAAGACTGGGTCTAGCCCTGCTGCTATTCGACCGTTTGTTGACTGTCGCCCCACCAACACGTCCCAATCGGGCAAGTGACAGGAAACTCTGTCAGGTCGGCAGAAGAAGAAGCACATGCAATCGCGACAGCATCTTGCCTAGACTCTGGGCGTCGACTCGCTGACTGGACCCTGGCATTTTCAAGTTTGCTATCTCCATTAACTTCCTGACCACGGCTTGGTATACTTGACTCCCTTTATCCTGTCTGTTTCCATGTCTCCTTTTCTATATATTTTTGGGATCTCCAAATGCAACTCCCTCCAGTGGAGAGCCTCGATCGACCCTCTTCCATGGTTGAGCTTCCTTCCATGGTTGGGCCTCCTTCCATGGAGCAGGACCCCTCTGGATCTTATCCTCACTCCTGCTGTCAACGGCAGTTTCTGCCAGGGTCTAGTCAATCAGATCAAAAGGAACTCAAAGGTTCACGCATGCATCCGATTTGGTTAACAATGGGTTCAATTCTCTTTGTTCTTGCATCCACACGCGCTGTTTTCGGTGCATGAGAGATTAAGGGTTGGCAGCTCCAACAATATCCAAACTTGTTCCGTCTCTGCCGAGTTCCTATATTCTGCGTTTTTCGTGTGATATACACATGTAACGTTTGCCTGCAGTGAAACTAAGCGAGTACCCAGGCCGAGCTCTGAGCATGGCACCTCCCCACCTCACCAACAACCGACAAGGCACTGGCCGTCAAGACGCCGCCAGGGGCGATGCCCGCCAAGGTGTTGTGAAGTCGGGTCATAACCCCACGAGAGGCGCCAGCGCCAGGGCACGGAGCGACGGACGAATGTCCAGCATCTTGCAAGGTATTCGAGGCATGGTCTTCGGAGGCCTTTCTGGCGCCGCTCATGCTCCACGGGCAGCTCCTCGGGCGCGCCTCTTATCGGCTCAGCCTGGGTTCGGGCCTATCCCTCCTCCTCCGCCTCCGGGATACGCCCGAGGAGTGTCCACCGCTCCTCCAGCCTATACCGCGGCCGCGCCGCATGCCCCGCCTCATCTCCCAACGCTGCGAGAGACGGCAGACACGAACGCCCAGCTTCTGCAGCGACAGCGATATCCCAGCTGGAAGCCGATCCCTCCCCCGATGAGGCTCCCTCCGCCGCCACAGTTTCGGCCACTGGCTCCTCTCACTATCGCGCCGCTGCCTACCCTGCTGCATCCTCTGGTACCCCTAGAGAATTTCAACACGGCTGCCCACCTTTTACAACAGCCGCGATATCCCAGCGGGCGGCCGATCGCTGCTCCGGTGAATCTCCCTCTACCGCCACAGCTTCCGACGCCAGCTCCTCCTTGGCCCAACCGTGTCCTCAAGCCCGGCCAGCTTGTTACAAGACAGCTCTGTGCGGATTACTTTCGAAACTTCTGGTGGCGTGGCGACGGCCGACCGTACGATAGCGCCTCGCGGCAACATATCTGGTCCCGAATCAACATCCCCGCGGTCTCCGGTTACAGACACAGCGAACGGGCCGTGGGCCTATACCGGGAGCATAAGCTGGCGGGAAGGAGGGGCGCCGCGCGCCTTTTGATGAAGCTCAGTCCCGGGGTCTCGCCCTTCAAAAAGGCCGGACAGGCCGAGCAGGTGGCGGCCCTGCTGGACGACAAGGCCCGGGTGCTGCACAAGGCAGGCATGAAGTTCAGGCGGCTGCTGGGCTACGGTGGCTACGGGCTGGTTGCCCTGTTTAGGGCCGAGAACGTGGCCGGCAGGATCCAGGACGTGGTGGCCAAGTTCAACCTGCGCGCGAACAATAACACGTCCTTTCCAAAGGAGAAGGCCGCCCTGCGTGTGCGCAATATCACTCCCCCTTTTTCTTCTGTGTCCTGTTTCTGATTTAGCTTTTATGCAGGATCTCTCCCGAGCCGAGCATATTGTGCAATTATTCTCCCCCCACGAGTTTTTTGGCCCCTTGCTCACAGCAAAAGCCCCGGGGTCTGCAATGGGGGCTCCCTTCGATGCCGACGCTGCCGAGGCCGATCAGGATATTCTTCTTCTCGAGTATAGCAGGCTCGGCGACATGGGCAAATTCATCGTCCAGCTAACGGATGATCTGCCCCCGAAGCTTCTATGGTATCTGTGGAAGTGCCGTAGGTCCCGTCCCCAGCCTGATCCTTTCGGCATCGTTGTCTCGACGATATCTTGGTGCCCTGGCTAATTGCTTCTCCATCCAAAACTAGTGCTTATGGGTGTCATCGAGATCGAATATCCCCCTCTAAAACAGCCCGCTCACGAGCATCTTCGAGAAATGCCTGGCGTACAGCCCGATTACGACCACCGCCAGCCTGGGGATAGGCCATCCACTCTTGTTCACTTTGACTTGGACCCTCTCAATGGTGTGCATATATCTGTTGCTGTCGTAGACACTTTCTTGCTTCAGTCCCGTATCCCTTCCACGTCTGCCTCGCTCCTCATCACCCTTGCCGGAATATGATTCACCTGCTGACGCCTGTCCATGCAGTCCTGGTGAGCGACGGTGACGAGTTCAACCACAACCTTACACCAAAACTCCAGGTGAGAGACTTCCAGCTTTTGGCACTCGATGCCCACTTGTCCGAAGTTCTGGACCGGCGCTAACACACCCTTTTCCTCCCCCCTCTCGAAGATCGCAGACTTTGGCCTGGCATCACGATGGCCCTCGAACAGGGCCCGGCGGGATACGGAAGCCGCTTGGAACTATCGCAAACGTGGAAAGCCACGATTCTATGCCCCGGTTCGTCCAGCTCGCACAGCAGCCTCCGTCCATGACTAACACCACACGCCACCGCTAGGAGCAGTTCGCGCCCGAATGGGACTCGGTCTTCCTCAATCCTGCCAGCGAAGTCCCAGAGGGGTCCAAGCACGTGGCCGGTAATTACGGGTGGAAGACAAACCTATACCAGGCTGCCCATGTAAGACAACAACAGCCTGCCTGGCGCTGTCAATATTCTTCTTTAACCCGGACACCGAGGCTGATATCCCCCAAAACGCATCTAGATCATGTGGATGTTAATCACAGGAGTCGAGCCACACTTCCCACCTACTTTGGACTGGGATCCGGCCCCGGGAGCTGAACCGCCCGTGCCGCCGACGTACGGCGGGTACCTCTTTAGCGAAGGGTTCAAGTACGTCGACGCCCACATGCGTCTGACCGTCGCCCGCTGCATGGCCCACGCCCCCGACGACCGGCCCGACATGGCGTGGCTCGTCAAGGACCTCGAGGAGAACGTGGGCCGGGTGAATGCCATGAGCACTCCCCAGAGCGACGAGCAGCTGAAGGCGGGGTGTATACTTCTCTTCGCCGAGCCTCCCAGTCGGAGGGAGAGAGAGCCGGTTTTCAACCCGAACAAGCCGTTTGACCCCAGGAATCCACAGGTGAGTTGCAGCTTGTCGATTTTTCCCCAGTTTCTCATGTGTCCTGGGGGTTTCCTCGTCTCAGGCTGATAAGTTCGTCTCGGTTCCACGCGCTGACACGTTGGTCTAGTTGAATCCCCTCGATGATGTTCGAAGGTGACCTACGACATTGGGAGGTTGGTGGTTCGGCGTTTGCTATCGGCACGAATCACTCTAAAGACCTCCCTTTTTATTGTTTGTGTTTGTCTGTTTTACTTTTGTTATCATGTAGGGAATGGCGGCATATTTTGCAGTATACATGATTGCTGCAGCGTTTCGTCATGACTAGGCAAGGCATGTTCCTGGGGAAGTGTATATAGTAATTAAAGATATCGGAAAGAGCAGCTCGCGATGCAAACAATGCAGGAAAGCCACAGGGGCAACAAGTAGCATGGACTCGGAGGTTCCGTGCTCCCCAATTTGCCACAATGAAGCGCAGTCGGACGTCAGTAGCGTCCCCTATTATACACTATCTGTTGGCTGAATACGCCCCGAGCTAACCCGGGGCCAACGCCGTCTAGTAGTCGTAGACGTAGCAGAAGGGGCTGCCGCCCTGGGTGTCCTGCAAAGGGCGAATCGTGGTCTCGTTGAACAGACCCATGAAGCGGATGGGGGAGTCCAGGGTGCTGGCCGTCCTGGGGCCGACGGTAGCGTTCATGCCGCCGATCTGATAGGTGCGGTTCGACGGGTTGGCCTGCTGCCAGGCCCAGTAGTTGCGGTCGGTGAAGGTGTGGTGCATGTCTGAATAAGGGGCTGTTGTTAGAGACGACCGGTGACGACGTGGGACTGGGGGGACATGATAAAACTTACAAAAGATGGCATCGGCCGGGGACGCCCACATGTCGCCCATGACGGAGCCGACGCCTGTGTGGCCAAAGGCGTGCGGGCCCTCCTCCTGCGAGACGGCCATGTCCCAGAACGAAGGGTAGGAGTTGCCGAGGTCGACAAAGGCCTTGGCCGTCTGGGCGGTTTGGGTCTCGTTGACGGCGCGGGACAGGCAGTGCGGGGTGGTCAGGTTGTGTACGGGGCCGATGCTGATGGTCAGGTTGGCGAGGGCGCCGGTGCGGACGCACGTGGCGTACTCCTTGCCGCCCTTGACCACCACGGGAGGCGCCTCGCCGTAGTAGTCGGGCCCGAAGATGGAGGCCTGGGAGAACTTGCCCGAGTCCTTGGTCTCGTCCCACCAGGGCAGGGGCAGCTCGCGCGGGTAGCCGCACTGGTTGCGCAGGATCTCCTGGTAGTTCCACAGGAACAGGCGGTGCCAGATGTTGAAGTGGCCGACCGAGTGAATGTTCTCCATAAGCTGCTGATGGATATATGCCATACTTTCGGCCATGCTCTTGGCCGCGGCCGGGTAGCCCGGGTGCGGCGGCAGGTCGTAGACGCAGCGCGCCGCCTTGACCCACAGGAGGCGGTACTCGTGCGGGAAGTTGCGCCACTCGATGCGCACCTCGGGGTTCTTGCACGTGCTCCGCGCCCGGCCCGCCGCGTACTCCCTGGCGTTGTCCGACGCGGACCGGACCGCGAGCTGCGACTTGTGCGATCTCTCCCACGCCTCGGCGTCGGCCTTGACCTTGGCTGTGCGCGCGAGAGCCTCCTCGACCGACATGACGGGGCGCGTCGGGAAGCCCATGGTGCCCTTGAAGGGCGCCAGGTCGATGAGGCCGGGCTCCGCGGCGGCGGCGGTGGCGGCAGGGAGCGCGCTCGCCGTCGACGCGAGGGTGGCGCTGAGGATGGTGAAGAAGGAGGCACGCATGATGACGGTGAAGACTCGGCTGGTGGGTTGCGAGAGGAAAGGGGGCTTGATGAACAGAAAACAGACGGGACGCTTGATGATGCTGCTGGCGCTGCTGTTGCTATTTGGGCTCTGCGACTTGGATTAGGGGGCTTGAGAGGCTTCCTTGATGGCTAGACAGGAATCCGAGGACCATGTTGGCGGCGCCAACTCATCCTTTTATATCACGGCCTGACAGGTCTCCATCGTGCCAGCCACGCCGTCCTACTGGCGTCCAAGTCCCTCTACGTCTGTCAGGGGCGCCGCCCAGGCGTGAGGTCGTCCATCGCCAGCGGTCTCAACGGCGGCTCCTCCCTGCCAAGAGCGAATCTCCATTCCCAACCTTGTTGCCATCCTTTGCTCCAGACCCGAAGGAGCGTGTAACACAATTGCCTATTCCGGGATGGTTTGGTGGGGGAACCGCAATGATGGTGATAATCGCGGCACACGTGGCGACCAGGGTGGCATGCCTGGCTCCCTGGGGGTGGGCGCTGGGGGGCAGCCAGCACCTACGGTCTGGACCATGTTACCAGGAGCCCACCTGCCGATCCCTTCCTTCGGCCTACCGGGCATTCCCATCAGGGGCAAATTCCGGAGGTTTGTTCCTATTCCGGCACCCCACGGCACTCCAAGGGATCACCCGACCCGACCCGAACAGGATGGATATTGGTGAATCCCAGGAGGACGGTGGGTATTCATCAGACGAGCGTGGTGGCCAAGCCGCTTGCACGCTGTCGACGTCCTTGGCTTTTCCCTAGTCCTTCCCGTCCCACCGCCGCTTGATTGGCTGTTTGATCTACTTGACATCCCCCTTTCGGGGCGCCGAATACGCCGTAAAATGAAGCCCAACCATACGCCCTTCGAGCTTCCACGTTCTCCGGCGTTCCCTTCCCCGCATTTGCCATCGATTGTGCGACAGCACTTGAGCGTTGCAGGGAGAGTAAAGCAGCAAACAAGAAAAACGCCAGCTTCGTGTCAGTCTTGTCCAGTCTGAGTGGGCGCGAGTATAGGGGGAGGGAGGGGACGCTGTCGGTTTGCTCTGCTCTGATGTGCTGGATCGAGGTCATGGTCTGCCCCTAGAACCACGACGCACAAATATGTACGCACTGATACCGTTCCAACGCCGTCGGGTATGTCCCATCTGAACTGTGCTTGCGAATACGGGGAAAGCCGATTGCTACAGCAAATCATCCCCCCCGCCCCAAAAAAAAAATCAATAGTCGTAAAGCCAAGTTCTTCCATTGGCGGAAATACAGGAGACCAAGCCCAACTCCCCTTATCCCATGTCCACCGGGTTCGATGCATCAATACGCCAGGCACAGCCCTTCTCATCTGGATCTTGTCAGCTTCCCTGGCCTTCAGCCTTGGCGACGTTTGCGCGGTGGCTCGGGTGGGTATTTTGTCGGATATCGCCCATCGAGTCCCCGCACGGGCATCGTCGTAAGCCGCAACTGTGGGGGTCACAGCGTTCGGTGGTATCCGGAATGGACCGCCCAGAGAGCTTTGGCCTTGCTTGACCTACCATCCGTCGATCAATCCCCTTCCGGGAGGATTTCTAATCCGCCTGGACCCCGGTTTTCAAGATCAACGCGCGGACTGCGCCTTCGGAAACAAGCCTCCTTGCCACTGCGATCCAGCCCCCAGTCCTGAGGACAAAGGGCCGGCCCTTGGCGATAGCCTCCTTTGTGACACCATCGTATTCCGCGCTCTCCGTGTGGAGATCAAAAGCTTTACCGGCGTCGCTTAGGCCATAGCAATTCGGCATGTAGGAGAGGTCACAGGGTCGCATTTGTAAACTTTCGATATTCACGGTCCGCAAAGTGTCCGGTTAAGGCCGGTATCGCAGGCTTAACTAGGTAGCGATTTTCCTGAATTCTACCTAACGTTGCCTACTTAGGCAACATCAGTACACGCGCGTACCTCAGGGGATGTGGCTTTCCTTTCAGAGTCTGTCCCGTTAAAGCCTTTTCTTAAAAGTGGCGCGGGTCCGTAGTTCTAAGGAAGCTAGAAAGAAAGCTATCTTCGGGGAGTTGCCTCTTTGGGATTCTATTTGTCAATGAGAGAGCACGTGGACATAAAAGGTTTGGCTCGTCCGAGCCTTCACGCTACTTATTCTTATAACATGTTTGGTTTGAACAGCAGGTACTAATGAAATCGAGGAAAGGTTGAATCATCTCTCTGCCGGCGGAAAAAGAAGCATGCCTGGAAAGCGTTAGGATTGTGTAAATCCAAGAGTATCAGCTGCTGCTGATACAAAAACCCCAGGTGGTCTTTGGAAACAGCCTAATAAAGTTGTTCCTACCTTGCCTCATAATCGGGATCTGTCCACATTTCTTTCCTCCACTTCACGGCTTTACAGAAGAACTCTGAAGCCCGTGGCTTGCCGTTTCCCACTCAATTAACAAAGTATCGCTGCATTATACTTGCCTCGTATCGAATGACTTTAATCAGCACGCCCTATGAGAGTTAAACTTGGCAACATCGCGCGGCGTTTATGCCCTTTATAAAAAGTAATTGAAAATTAATTTTCTGGGCGCACTCGGGCTTTGCTTAAAAAAAAGCGTTTCATCCACCCACCCTGATATGAATCCTCGCACGTTTGACACTTTTGACACTGCCGAATTCACCGTGAAAAATCCGGGTTGTGGCAAGCCCATCCATTGCCTCCTTCCTCTCTGTTACAAGGCGTGGAAGTCAATCGAGGTGCTTATAATAGCTGTCTTGGGGTGGACGTGTGTCTCCAAAAGGAACTGTGAGGAAATAATAGAGAGTATGGTGCCCTCAGCCTTGTGTGAATGCGCGGTAGTGGCGGAACCACTCTTCTCAGATGTCATTACGTGTTTTTCGCCTGTACCGAGCGTTAGTGATTCTGATAAGGTTTATGATATTAGAATCGGCATACACTGCGAGGGGTATATCCGTTCTTGTGTGGCAGACCGATAATCGACGTGTCCTGGGCCCACTCGATGCACAAAAGGGACACTAACAAAATCTCATGTTAACCCGATGCCATGTTATGCAACCGCGGGAGAGCTGCGCATGGTCCATTTTAATTACTAAAACACGATTACCTACCATCGATTGGTGATAGCTGGGGTAAATGAAGAAGTCGCTACCCCTCAAAAGAACTGGGCCTTAAGAAGCCGTGATGTGGCTCCGATGTGGTGCAAGAATGGCGTGATATAAGGAAGGCAGATGGCGTCATGGCAATGACATCTTCACGCCCCACGACGCGGGTTCGGGAGATCGATATGATGGCTTATCCGCGACTTTAATGTGCCGGACTGCGCGGCAGATATTCCGAAGGGGGTTAGAATCCATGTTCATGGGATGGCTATCAGTGCAGCTGAAGTTGTGATCCCGGTTCAACTTTGCGTGATGGCTGATCAATGCAGAACCCCGTCGATCGATCGCATTCCGATCCTATCGCCATGCCGAAAGACGTGCGGGGTCGGGTGTACCATGAGACAGGCCTGGAATGGGTTGTTGTTATATATACAGAACAGGACCTTTCTCACGGGGCGGAGACGAGATCATTGAGCGCTGGATCTTCCCAAGATAGGAATCACCTCCGTTGGTCCCCCTGGCGACTAACACTCACGCATCATGGCACCATCCGCGGTCGAGACGGTGACGGTCCAGGCGCCGACACAGCCGAACAACTACTCGGCATCAGTTGGCCAGTACAAGGAGCTGTCGGCCCGGAGCGCATACAATAAGGATGCGGAGCTGAAGGGCTTAGGCAAAAAGGGGTTTGAGGCCGCAAAGGTATGGACAGGCGCCCAGGGCTGCGCGCGGCGCGATACGGGTAGCTCGCGCTGGAAACATTCTGACGGCCTCTTTCCCTTCTTTTTTTTTTTGAACTCGCAGTACCCCCACTACCTCCCGACCTGGAACCCGGAGCAAAGGTACCCCCCACTCGAGCCCTTTACGCACGTCGAGCACGGCAAGGACGCCGACCCGTCCTTCGCCGAGCTGCTGCCCCCCGGCCAGGCGACGGCGACGCACCTCACGCCCACCATCGGCACCGAGGTGCGCGGCGTGCAGCTGGGCCGGCTGTCTGACGCCGGCAGGGACCAGCTGGCGCGGTACGTGGCGGAGCGGCGCGTGGTGGCGTTCCGGGACCAGGACCTGGCGGACCTGCCCATCGCCGACGCGCTCGACCTTGCCGGCTACTTTGGCCGCCACCACGTGCACCCGACGTCGGGCAGCCCCGAGGGCCACCCGGAGGTGCACCTGGTGCACCGCGAGGCGGGCGACGGCGGCGCCGCGCGCTTCTTCGAGCAGCGCACCACCAGCGTCGCCTGGCACTCGGACGTGTCGTACGAGGCCCAGCCTCCCGGCACCACCTTCCTCTACGTGCTCGACCAGCCCGACGTCGGCGGCGACACCCTCTTCGCCGACTGCGCCGAGGCCTACGCCCGCCTGAGCCCGCTGTTCCGCGAGCGCCTGCACGGCCTGACGGCCACGCACTCGGGCGTCGAGCAGGTCAACGCCGCCGCCGCCAGGGGCGGCATCAAGCGCAGGGAGCCCGTCGTCCACTCGCACCCCATCGTCCGGACGCATCCCGTTACAGGAGAAAAAGCGCTCTATGTCAATCCGCAATGTGAGAATCCTTCGGGACTGATGCCTTGTGAGAAACGAGTATTTGCCGCTGACGCAGCCCCCCCTCCCTATCTCTCAATAGTCACACGCGACATCGATGGCCTCAAGAAGGAGGAGTCGGATGCGATTCTGAAATTTCTGTACGAGCATATCGCATGGGGCGCCGACTTCCACGTCCGCGTCAAGTGGGAAAAGGGCACGGTCGTGGTCTGGGACAACCGCGTGACACAGCACTCGGCCCTCGTAGACTGGAAGAACAGCCAGAGGAGGCATCTGGCCCGCCTTACGCCGCAGGCGGAGCGGCCGTATGAGACTCCGTACGAGGCTTGAGGAGATGGGGGGTAATGGAGACTGAATAGGCTGGTACTTGGCACCAACAAGCGCAATGAACACGTAATGAATCTTTTTGATTCTTGAAAGGCCTGTGTCGCATAATATATCATCTCGAAAAATGGGCTATGCCCGAGACTATGACATGGAGGTAAAACTCGTGTGGGGGAAAGCAGGCCTTATGTCGCACCATGGGTAGCGGCAGCTCCATCCTGGACAAGGACGCTGCAGTTGCGCTCCTGCCTGGATATCGCAACATCCAAAGCCGGGTTCCGCGTGAAGAAGTTGACCGGCTTGAGCCCAACCACCATCTTCTCGCAAGGCATCACGGGCCAGTCCTCGACCCGCGGGTTGTGGGTCGAGCCGAACGTGTGCCAGACCACAATGTCGGCGTTGCGGACCGAAGTCGACGTCGAGCCCGTGGCCGCGTCGGCCCCGGCCGCCCTCCGCTTCTCAATCCACGACGAGATGCCCTCGCCGCCGAGGGACTGCATCGTGAATCTGCCGGCGGGGAAGAGCTCGTCGTCGGCGTGGCGCGTCACCCACACGGCGTGCGACGCGTACTCGGACCGCCGGGCGTGCCACGAGCCCGGGTGCGCCAGCAGCATCTGGCTGTAGCATGGCAGCAGCTTGAGCCCGACCGGCGTCCCCGTGACTTCGTTCGTCCTGCCCTCGTTGACGATCTTGAACACCCTGTTGGTCCTGAAGTCCAGGTTTAGCCCGCACTCATCCGTGACGTATTCGGACTTGGTCGAGAATCCGATCCCGAACGGGTTTCTCTCGTCAGGCGTCGCGGCCGACGAGCCGTCAAAGGGCATCGGGTGCGTCTCCTCGACGACGAGCGAGTTGAGGTGCCCGTCGACCGCGGGGTCTATGCGCAAACAGAAGAGGTGCTGGTGGGACGGGGCGAGAACGCCAGGGGCGACCACGGTTCCAAAGGACGGCGGGTCCGGCTCGTCCATGTCGACGGGGGCCGTGGACATGATGCCGGTGGCGCGCACCTCGTAAAACAGCGACGCGTCCTGCTGGAAGTAGAAGAGGAAGATGTACTCGTAATTGCTGACCGTGATGACGGTCTGAAGCACCAGCACGCGCGAGCGCGTCACGACAGCGTTGCCCGTGCGGAAGTTTGTGTGCTTCCAGAGGATGCCGTCGTCGACCTCGTGGCAGCAGATCACATTAGGCATCCTCAGCGGCTCTCCCCCGGCTGTGACGAGCCAACCGTCCAGGTACTTTATGTGGCCGAGGCAGTCGCAGCCGAGGGCCAGGTTGTTGGCGTTGAGCCCGGCGCCGTCGTTCCCCAGGTCAAAGGCGGCCTTGCGCGGGTACGGGCGGCGTGGGTCGGAGTAGGGGACAAACATTTCGGCCAGTGAGAGGCGGTAGAACAAGCTGCGGCCCTCGTAACGGATATCGTGAAGCGTCATGCCTTCTCGGTAGTTGAAGCCCACCCGCATCGTCCACTTCTCCCAGCTTATCCGGTGACCATCCACGGCGAAGGATGGACCGTCTGGCTGGCTGATATGGTAGGGCTTGGTGGTGGTTCTGCTGTCCTGAGCGAGGTCGGGGTGGTATTCACTGTCGGAATGGATGCGCCGGCGGTCGAACTTTCTCTTCTCCGTGTGAATCTTGTCGTGCTCACCCGAAGGGAGTCGGTAGATCTCCCGAACTCTTAGATCGCTCGTCACCTCTGCGCAGATGTCCAGAGGGTATGCGTAGTAATTGGCGTCTGGATTATCGGACAGACGCATATAGAACCATGCCTGGATGAAACGCAGTTAGTGGGCAAATCCAACATGCGCGGGAAGGTTGGGTCTCACCATAGTTTGCCTCTCCTTCATGTCGTTGAGGCCGTCTGTGGCGTACGCCCAAGGCTCAACCACAACGGTGGCCCCTGGCGGAAGATCCAGGCTGCGGATCTCTTCTTGGACCTTGGGGTCGGCCAAGCAGGCGGCGGCGACATTCTGCATAAAGACAGTGTCTATGTAGGAATGGCGACCGTCAAGCACTTCGTTGGAAACCATAGACCCCAGCCCAAGGTCAACCACGACCTCGTTCAGAGTCCCATCGACAAAAAGTTGAACCCTGGCAAGGCGCGGAGGCCGTTCGGCCAGCGGCAACCCGGCATTCTCGCGCTCTAGAAATTGGATCATGGCCTGCTTTGGCGGCTCTTGGAGCACAACCACGCGGAAGGAGAGGTCTGCGTCGGGGAAAGCCCGACGGATGACCCCCACCGCCTACACATGCGCCCATCAGATCATCGTTGGAATGCAATCGCCAACGGGGGATGGTCACGTAACCTACGTTGCTAATTTCCAGGCGGCTCAAAGGGTCCAATGGATGTGGGGGAGCCATAGCCAGGTTCGGAAGTGCTGCAGGTCTTTGTTTGAGGCTGGTGTTTGGTCAATATCCGCTCTGCTTTTTGCTTATTCGATATCCCACGGCGAGGCTGCGGTATGTTCCGATCTTAGTCCAGGACGGTCCGGAACACGACATGAGAATCCCCGCAGCTGGTGTCCCGGAGGCCGGCCGGCTTCGGAGCCGGCGACTGGCAGCCGAGGTTGAGTGCTTGTGTCCGTTGCTGCGGGGGTGGGGCTAGTCTCGTGATTCCTCACTGGACACACCACACTCAGCGACACTCCTCGCTTTCGAGAAGCAGGCTCACCGGCAAGGTGCGTTCCAAGACCCCAAACCTCGGGCATGGCCAATGCTGCCATAGTGACCGAACGGCCAAATGGCTTGTTTCCCAGGCTCAAGGCATCAACCCCTGGACGTCCCCCACACACCCGATTCGTGCTGCGGTTGACGCCGCCCACCTTGCCCGGGCTTGACATCACCCCGCAGGGTCGAGCATCGACTGGAACTAAAACGGTTGGCAATGCCTTGCTCGCCCGCATGAAACCGACATGGGTGGCCCAGGAAGCCCGTTCTGACAGAGCGTCACCAAGCCCCTGGAAGCCTTAAATTATGGGGCCCATCTCTCAACCTCCAGGCAACCGAATTCGTCCACTTCTTGTTGGTGGCCTATTCTCCGGCGGCGGGCCCAGAAACAATATGCAAGTGGCAGGAACCCTACATGTACCGTGCCCGAGGCCCGTTTTCTCCGAATTTTCGGCGTCTCTTGCCGAAGTTGCCTACAGAAAAGACGGAATGAAGTCCAATGTAACACCTTGGCCCTCCTGATTGGCGGATGGCCTGACTTGCCCGGCGCTTTTCTCCTCGTCTTTGTCCTTGTGCGTTTCCTGCTTTGACTGTGCCATGCGGCTTTTTCTCCGTTCCCGGATCCGTTGCAGGATCCCGTCATCATCGGAGCCGTCTCCGTTGTCCGCACGGCCTCTTTTCTGGGGGGAAGAAGCTGCCCACGACCGTGGGGCTCCGTGGGCCGGAACGCGGGCGGGGACATGAGTCGACAACCCTCCCGTTGCGCCGTGCATGTTCCTAGGGGACGGGGCTGTGCGAGGATTGCGCGTCTGTCTCGAGGGCCCTGAGACAATAGACAGTGGATCTGCGAGGAGCCGAGGGCCTGATGCAGCCACCGGCACATGGCATTGGGGCATGTTCCGCCGGCCGGGGATGAATGAGGACGGCGCGTCGAGGTCCTCATCGCTCTCTACGTCGGTTGGGCGCAGCCTGTCGGTAAGCTTCCCTCGATCACGTCCCCTAGCAGATGAAACCGCGCTGCCGGTGTGGCTGGGGGCTCCTAGTGACCTGCTTTGCATGCCGCTGGTGCCGCTGCCGCCCACTGAAGAAGAGCTGTGATCAACATCCCGCCGTTGTCCTGGGTGTGTCCCTGCACTGCCTTTAATGACGGAGGAGAGAGGTACAGCTTTTGGCCTGGCGCTGGTCATCAGTCCTTGCAGCGCCGTGCCGGCCCATGGATTTTCCAAACCATCGCTGTCGTCGTCATCGTCACCGTCTTCTGATGGGATTTCGCCTCGTTCTCGATTGATTCCCGCTTTCTGCCTCGTGGCAAGCTCGGCAGCGTCTTGGCATTGCTTGACAGCCTCCGTCTTACTCCCAACCACAGGCCTGGATATTGCCCGGATCGTCACAGCGTTCTTATTCTTGGTCAGGGTCTTGAGCCTGTGGTATTCGGCTTTGTGCAGATGGGCCGTAAATGCGCCTGCAACTGACAAGAATTCGTCTTCAACCATACGATATCCGTCATCTGCGTCTAAGCCGTCGATCATGAAACTAAACAGTGACATTGGCGGAGACAGGTTTGTTAGCTCACTCGAGCCCCGAACCCCGTTTCTTTTCCTTGACGGTCCAGCTTGATATCCATCCAAGTTTCCCGTCTTGAATCCCGAGCCAGGGGTACCTACCTCTCGGCATGCGACGTTGGTGGAGGTGAAGTGGATGGCGAACGACGGGCTTCATAGCGTCCGGGGCGAGTTAGTTTCGAAGCAAACGGTATAGCAGCCCTGAGCTGGTCCACAGTCCACGATCGTTGGACCATTCCAGGTATACAGTGATATTGCAACCCGCTGAATGTTGGTCAGGGGATGCCTTTACTCTGGATCAAGGCACAACCCACATTTGTCTCCCTGGACGCCTGGCGCACCTTTTGCAGGTACCCGGGTCCGTTGCGCTTCAGGGACACCACGTTTCCAAGGGAGTTTGCGTGGCATGCTCGCAGAGAGTGGTTTGTTCCAGAGTGGCTGAGTCGGATCCTTCGGTCTCTCGGTCTTTTCGCTTTTTTGCTGTGAGCGGAACCCCAAATGCGAGAGCACCCTCAAGCTAGAATGGAACCTGGAAAATCGGAGCAGGCCGCGTCACTCTGGCTCGTGTTGGAGGGCCAGCCGTTGCTGAGCCAGGAAACGAACGTCGACGGGTAGTTCCTGGATTTTAGGCAGCAACAAAAGGGTCTTGGCTCGACCGACGAGTGGGCTGGGAGCGTGCGGGAGATGGGGCTGTGTAGGACGCGTGCGCGGCGTGAGCGCCAAATTCGTGATTTGCCGCAGTCGCACTGACCTTGACTCGATTGCAGCAGCGTAGCCAAAGGGATGTGAGCTGGAAATTGCAGTTGAGGCTGAGCCGAAATAGAAGAAAGGCCTAATAGGAAGGCGGGCTAAAGGCCACCAACCAACCAAATGTGGGTAAAATACCTATCGTGTGGGGCATACGAGCGCCCTACGAAGACGGGACCACAGCTTTAACAAGACGGACCCGACATCTGGCTGTGCTTTGTGATTGATGGAGGCGCCGGCATGCCCCGCAAAATACTCCTACAACTCTCATGATACAAGGTCAGAGTATTTAGCGCGCGGGATAAACACAACAAGACCGGGAATAACGGGGGCATAGCACTCGCTTGCGACATGTTTGGACATGCTTGGACATGCGATTGTCGTGACGGGAAGCCGTACCTGTCCGCCACCGGCCGTGCTAAGAAACTGCCAGTGGCTGGTCTACCCTAGCTGGAGTGAAGGCTGCGGGAAAACGAATGCACAGGTCTTTTCAGATCACGTCGGCGGGTGTGGCTCAGACCACGGAGTGTAAGAGACAGGTCCGCTCGGCGGCGCTGCCATCCCCGCCTTCCAGGGTCGGACGCCGTATGTGCTTTTTTGGGTAGGCTTCAATGTAGCCCACACCTGCTAACAGCGGGGGGCCCCGGGGGGAAGTCGCGGAAAACGATGCTAGTTGGGTCCTGCGAGGGCCCGGCAGCTAATAGGAATTTTCTCTTCTTGCTTATGGTTGGAATTCCCCCTTGATGCAACCCTTGCCGCGCTTTCGAGATCCACCTTGGTACATCGCATAAGGGGTGGTGACATAGATAGTACATAGGGAGGGGACAACCCAGGCGGCTAAGCTGTGGATGGTGGCATCTTTACATCACGGTGGCCCTATTTACTCCAACTCCGCGAGCAATTGATTGCCTTGATCCGTACCGTTTACTATACCAGAGCAGCCTCAAGTCTGGCTCTTGATATCTATGGCAACGGCCACCGTCATCTCTACCAGCCCAGTCCTCAACCTACCCCTTCACTGCTGCACACAAGGCTACATTAGGCCCTATGGGAAGATGCAAGTCAGACCCAAGATCACGGTGACCAGCGACGGCCACCTGTCGCCCGAGCCGAGAAGAAAGGGCAAATCTCCATCACCCAGCCCAACAGAACGCCTCGACCCAGGGACCAAGAAACGGGCCTTGCGACGAGAGAACTGGGAGATACACCGCGCGACTATAAAACGTCTTTACATCGACGAGGGTAGAAAGTTGAACGATATTGTCGAAATCATGCGGCAGGACTACGACTTTACAGCCAAGTAAGCCATCATACCGACGGCGTCGAAGAGAAAACGGACTACAGCCGCGAGACAAGGGCAGGGTGACTAATATGTGATGATCCCCGGTCAACAGTGCTCGCATGTACAAGCACCGCTTGAGTCAATGGGGTCTCATCAAATATAATAGAGAAGCGGACGTCCAGCGGATACTACAGCTCAAGAACCAGCGGGACGCAGAGGGAAAGGACAGCCACATAGAGATCAACGGCCGCGTTGTCGACTTCGACCGGGTCCAGCGATACCTACAGCGGCGAAAGATCTCGGTTGACGAGTTTGCAGAAGAGAGTTTTGCAAGAAGCCGCAGGGGCAGCAAAGGCAGCAAAAGCCCGGCCGAGGACGAGGACGACGAAGGCCAGGAGCTGGACGTGAGCAGCGCCTCCATCACCATCCGCACGCCAATATCATCGCCGATATCGTCAGCGCTCCCGCTATCGCCGTCTGCCCGCTCGCCGGTCAGCCCCGGGGTCGCGGAGGAGGTGATCTGGGACGCGAGCGCGTGCGCGAGCGAGGTCATCAAGGACCCGAGCGTCGCCGAGCTCCCGCCGAGCCCGCTCGGCTTCGCCCTCATCGACTCGGTCGTCATGATCGCCGAGCTGATGGAGCAGCACAGCCCCGGGCCGGCTGGCGAGTACATGCAGCTGGCGTCCAAGCAGGCCGAGGACGTGATACGGTCGCACCCGCACGAGGCCATCGTGTGCCTGTACGAGGCAACGCTCGTCCTGGCCCGCCCGGCGCCCGAGGTTGCGGCCCTGATCCTGCGGCACGCCGCCGAGGTGAGCGCCATCTTCATGCCCGAGGCCCACCCGATGCCGCACCTTCTGCGCAAGCTGGCCGAGGTCGCCGACGAGGCCGTCGCCGGCGCCGCCAAGGACGTGCACATGCTGGTAGAGACCACACGGCGGGCCTTCCACCGCCATATCACCACGTGGGAGCGCGCCCTGGGGCACGCGCCGGGGGGCAGCTTGACCTGGTGGTGCTGGGTGCGCTATCTGCGCTCGGTAGGACCCGACGACGCCGCGGCGGATCTGTGGGTGAACAGATCCGAGGAGATCATGCGCACCGCCGTGGATCCCCGAGACCGGGGGAGGCCGATGGAAGACGGTTCGTTCTCGGGACTAGAAGCTGGGATTCCCATGGAGAAACTTGTCCTCCTGGGCCGGTACGAGATTTGCACTGCTCTTTCACCGACAGTCTACAGCCGGTTGGAGCGTTATATCGTGGCACACATCCGCCGCTGCTGTGATCTGCAAGCCCTGTCAACCCAAGCCCTGCACGAGTTCTTCATGGCTAGTATCGCGAGACAGGCGGGACGGCTGGTCGAGGCGGATGAATACAGCCGGGCATCTGTGTCCTCATACATGGCGGCCGGAAATATCGACTATGCGATGAGAATCATGGCCTGGATGTCGAGATGGGCAGGACAGGATTTCGACTCTGACACCTGTAGGTACCAGCTATTGGATAATATCTTTCGCGGCGGCCATAGCTGAGTGATTTTGTGTTTTAACCAGGAAAAATGGGCAGGCGTTGGGGATTAGAGGGCTGTAGGGGTAGGCGGTACCGATACTTTACGTATAACTGCCGCTTGATATAATTCGACTGCTTTGATGTGTAGGCACGAAATCTGTCTGTTTAGAAACTCTAGACTGAACGTCCACTACCCATCTTGTCTCACAAATCGCCTTGCTCCCTTTTTCTTTTATCTGTTCATGTAAGGACTTTTGTTCATTGCGCGCTTGGAGAGTGATGAGCCTGAAAACCCACTGGTTGCTGAACAGCCTTGCGTGATGTCTGAAGTCAGATCACAAATGGTGGCAGACAGCACAATCCTTTCTCTGCTCAAAAATTTCCACTTTCGGCCTATCACGCACGCTAGCTGTGACGTCAGTGGAGTTTTTTGGGCCCCATGGCTTTCGTCCCATGCTTAAATCCCGCGCTTGTCTGGAAACGGTGGAACGGTTTGGCAAAGAGGAGGCCTGCACGTCGCGGGAGTAGAACGCATGACAGTAATTTCAACAACCAAGGCCGATATCTAGCCTAATAATGCCTCGAAACATGAAAGCAGTTCCTGTTTCCGCATAAGACCTGCGCGTGTTCTGCTTGACATTGTAATAAAATTCCATGTATATCCAAGAACTCGGGATCGCGACGCAATTTCCCACACAGGGACATCCTGATATCAAGCAGTAATTTATCTGGGCCCGGGTCTATGTTTCTCTGTCAGCAAACCACAAGAGCTAGTGCACCTTGCCACTCTCTTTTGTCTATCTTCGCTGGCGTGAGGCCCAAGGTATGGGTGGCTGGACTGTCGAACGCTGAGCTTGAGTAGCCCACGAGGAGAGGAAATGTCAGCATCAGATCGGCTACTACATGGCGGGACTAGCTACGGAAGCAACGCTCGTGCCGTCCTGCCGATCGCCCGTCCACGTTGGGGATTAACCGCAGCACCCGGGCTCGCCCTAGTTCGACATCGCTTCTTCATCAATGATCGCCAGGAACGATGCTCCCACGCTGTGATCCGCCGCATGCCAACTGACTCGCCGCCTGCGACTTCCCCGACATGCTGGGCTCTTGGCAGGCACCCGGGAGATCAAGAACCCCACAACCAAGGCGACGCAATGCGCTGTGCATGGAATCTACCCGGAGGCTCTCATGTCTTGCCTCCTGCAGCGCTCGTCTTGGGTGAAACGGCGAGCGGGGATTTGCCCAGGGGGTGGCGGCTCCAAGCGCAGCCGCTCGTCTTGTCGACGCACGCGAAAACCGCGGCACCACTTTATCGGCGGGCCGGCACACGCGAGAACCAGATTCCCGCTTGCCAGACTGCTCGTCATTCTATTTTCGGGTTTGGTGCCGGACTGTCCCGCGAGTCCTGGGGCTTTGTGTAACAGACCAATGGTGATCTCTGTTCCCCATCCGACCGCCGTTCGAGCTGATGGGGTATATATGTTATCGGGCATCCTGCCCATCCGGTTCTTTTCTGAGCTTTCCTCCCCATGGTCGGATAGCGCCTTCACACATACACACCATCTTTTAATCGTCTTTCTCTTGCCAAATCAAGTCTGTTCCCAGACACTGGCCACACTCCTTTTGTGATCCTATCCACCATATTCACCACCATGAAGTCCGACATGCTACTCGCCCGCATCGCCGGGCTCGTTGCCACCGCCCAGGCCCTCATCCAGATGGAGGTCCGGTATTCCGACAAGATGGTCGAGGTTGGCAACATGGACCTCCAAGCCGTCACCAGAGACGCAATCTACGCCGAGCCCGGAAACCAGCGGGGCATAATCACGGACCGCACATCCACGGGCGTCACCAACCAATGCCAGCACCGGCTCGAGCCCGGCCCGGACGTCACCGTTCAGATCAGGATGAACGGCGCGTGGGGCCGCACGCCCGGCCTCCAAGACAATCAGATGCGCGACGGCCTCGTGGCCTCGCTCTGGGAGGTGCTCAAGTCGGTCTCGGACGACACCGGCTACGAGATCTACACCGACTGCTACGGCACGTCGTGGACCGAGAGTGCCAGGCACGTCAAGGAGGCCGCCTGCGGTGCCTTGGCCGCCAAGAGCTGCAAGGACCAGTGCGCCCACGTCAACACGCCCACGCTGACCCAGTGCATGAAGCACAGCTGGGGCCACCGCGTGCCGTCGCAGATTCGCGTCACCGCCTTCATCGACGGCGCTCTGCAGGCCGACGACCTTATCATCGACTTTGCGTCGACCCAAAACAACAAGCCCGGCGGCTGCGGCATCATCGGCAAGATCGCGGCGCAGCTGGCCACGTTTACCATCCCTGTCGTCGGCGGACTGTTCGCCGAGGGCATTAACCTTGGCTGCGCTTCGTAAGACAGAGCATGCATGGCAAGGGACGTCATGGCGATATATAATAAAATAAAGCAACTGTTAAATAACTGCCGCTCTTGATCACAGCAAAACTAGCATGTTTGGCTCGTCCAACGTACAAACACGCCGTCGAACCATCTACCACCACATACCTTCCCTCACTCATACCTTGCGAGCACAGTTGGACGTTCTGTAGCTGGCCCAGTTGCCATTCGCATTGAGACACTGGCCAGTGCGCGCGACGATGCGGTCCCTGCTGCAACCCGTGTCTGTGAATATCTCGACGGTGCAGCCGTTCGCCAGGACGGCGACGCGGGCGCTGCGAAAGATGTCGGGGATGTAATTGCACCCGCCCTCGCTGAAACCCCCGCCCCTCCCCGTGTTGGTGAAGGTCACCTGGGACCCGCCGCAGTTGGGGTTGCCGAAGAAGTCGATGGTCGACAGCACGTCGGAGGGGTTGGGTGGCGGCTGCGGCGGCTGCGGCTGCCCTGGGCACCGGGACGGGTCCCTCGAGCACGGCGCGCAGAGGGCCCAGTCCTGGCTGGGCGGTGGTGAAGGTATTCTATCAGCACGGGACTGCCATGGTGGGTGCGTTGGGCGGCACCGACATTCCAATGAACCAGCAGAAGGCGTCTGAGGGGCAGACATTGCCTCCTTTGTAAAGGTATCCAGCACCTGACGACCGATGAGCAGATGTCAGCTCTCAATCACATAATCACTATCTCGGCTTTACCGCTGCGCCGAGAGGGATGGTAAAACTGACAAGGGATAAAGTATGGAAGCCCAAAAGGGCTAGGAAACTGAGCAGCGGCCTGGGCCGCCAGCGCCAGAAGGCCAAGTCCTCGGCCCGACCTCATGTCAACAAAACAACGCATTCCAGACGCGAGGCGACAGAGAGATAGCACAGAGAGCCGCAGTTTACAACTGACGGAGCAGGCAAGAAAGCGTGAAGTGCCGCAATATAGTATAAGCCAGATGGGGCGGTCCCGTGGGACTAACGTGTCTTTTTTGTACTTTCCGTTTCACAGCACCGATGGATAGCACGCCGACCATGCCTACTCAAGCCATCACCTAAAGCAACCTTCCCCTAGAGGCTCCTCGCTTGTGTGATTCGTGGCTATTCTAGGCGGGCCTGTTCGACAGGTTGTCGGCAGAGCAATATACAACGTGGTATCGTGTGTCTTGGTGGTCTGGTCGGGCTAGGTATGGCCATGCAAGTAATAGCACCCACGTCTTGACGGATATTATCGTAGCATTCGCGTCCGGGTCTAGATGCGCCCTGGTTCCTGGCGTGACCTGTGCAACCTCAACGTCTCATTGAAACCAGAGCTTTCCATAACGTGGTCCCGTCTCACTCGGGCTAATGTCCACGGCTATTATATAGCACACTCCTTTCGGCAGTCGTGTCCCTAGCCCGGGTCCTATAGACTGAGACCGCCCCAGCCGAGCTGTTTAGCTTGAATTTTGCGGCTTCTTGCCTTCATCTGTAGCAGCGCACGGCAGTCTATTGCTTCAGGAAGGACCTGTAGACGGAAGTCTGTTTATCGCTGGACAGGTTTCATATTACTTAACGTGCGCACCACGCCAGCTGTAATGATGAGCCCCATTTGCGCCTGGTTTGGTACTGGTCGAGCAGCTAATAACTACCATATGTGCTCCTGATACCACCGGCAGGATGTCAAAATGCTATGCTATCCCTAGAAATGGTCAGAAACCTCTTTGACCGGGTAAAAGGAAATTCCCGTCGTACCTATGCCATGTGCTCGGAGCTCTCACACTACTAACCGAAAAACCTAGACCTAAACCGACGGTATACATGATTGGGGCGCGTACTTGGGAAGATTTACATGCATGGATCGGTCGCCTGTGTCTTGCTTGCTGTCCTTCAACCAAGATGTCTTGTATTGGCAGTAGGTTATCCTGCTATGCTATCAGAGAACAATGCCAGAATCCCTTTCCAAGGTCTCGTACATATGTCGGGTGTGAACACCTGAACTCGAGAGCTATGGGTTCCAGTTTTCAAGCACATCTTGGTCTGCCCTGCACTCAACAGTATTGAAGTAGCAGTGACTCACTGCCGCGAAGCTTGACGTTAGCCTTTTACCCAGGGTGTTGGGAGGTTAGGTTTCGCTTTTCCATTGAGGGCTCTAACTCACGGCAGTTCGAGTACTCGTATGGCGAATTGTGCTCATGACCACACAGCTGGAGGCAGGTGCGCCTGCAAGTCTCTATCTGCTCAACGTCTCCCTGGGTACGCTGTGCTAGCTTTGGCCGAAGTTGTCCCATGCCGGCAGGGAGAGTGCTAGGTCGAGGGGGCGAGTGTATCTCGAAATGCTGCGGCGTCGCTGAAAGGGCTGTTGCCACCATCAGGACCAGGAGAAGGAACCCTGCGAACACTAGCTGGACCCGAGTCCTCATGATTGCAAGCTATTCTGCTTCAACTTCCGCTGTAGCAATGCCGAAGATCGTTGGCGCGGTGGCACTGGAGACTCCGAACGGAAATTTGGCACGAATGCCCAGTGAGGGAACAAAAAGACGGACTGGGAAGGGTGTTGCGCAGGTCGGCAACACCGACCCTCTGGGCTCGGCGGAACGAGGAAAGAGAGCGTTTCTATAAATCTTGGATGACCTATACCTATCTCCTGAGTACCTAGAGTTTGAGGCCCCTCCTTGCGGCCCCAGTGCTGAGACGAGGCGGCTGTTGAAGGACGTCTACACTGGATGAAGCTGAGCCGACCAAACTCAACGCCACCAAACCAAATCACCCAACAATCTCCAGAACGGCTGCATGAATAATGGCTGCTGACGACGGGAGTGATGGGGACAAATTACACTGATGAAAACAACAGCGGCGCAAACATACCTCCCTGGAAGAACGGTTCGGGCCATCGGCCAGTCGAAGGAAGTGGACGAGCACGAATCGACGGCCCAGCCTCGAGTCGTTGAAAGTGCCCACCGCCAAGCCGCCACCTGCACGTGCCCCCCGAGCGATCCGCCTTGGCTTATCAATCAATCCCTTCTATCGATAGCGGGGTGCCTGGCTTTGCGATTAAAAATTTCCCCCACTGCGTAGTCCCCCGCTTCCCGTCTGTTGTAGCGAGGAGGAGAGTTTAGGGACCCGGAAAGGCTTCAACAAACTAGAGTTTGCGCGACAACGATTTTCCACGACAACCCACGACCCAGACGGCTATCACACACGCCGCGATGGACGTATCAATGGATCTAGATGCCCCCGTGGTTATCAATCCCCATATGGGGGGGACAGCCCAGACGGGCGCAACGTGTGTGCTCTTCTGTATACTCCTGTTTTTTCGTTGATTTTCCAAATCGCTAACAAGATGCCGTCTATATCTCTAGAATCCTGTGCTGCAACTGCGGCGCCCCGATCGACGGCACAACGGCAGCCGGCGCGCTCTGCTACGACTGTATCAAGACCACGGTCGACATATCCCAGGGCATCCAGCGCGAGGCGGTGCTGCACTTCTGCCGCGACTGCGACCGGTGGCTGCTGCCCCCCGCCAGCTGGGTCCTGGCGCCACCCGAGTCGCGCGAGCTGCTGGCGCTCTGCCTAAAGAAGCTCAAGGGCCTGCACAAGGTCCGGATCATCGACGCGAGCTTCGTCTGGACGGAGCCGCACTCGCGCCGCGTGCGCGTCAAGCTCACCATCCAGGACGCCGTCCAGGACGGCGTGCTCCTGCAGCAGTCCTTCGAGGTCATCTACATCGTCTCGTACCAACAGTGCCCCGACTGCGCAAAGTCGTACACGGCAAACGTGTGGCGCGCCAGCGTCCAGGTCCGCCAAAAGGTCCTGCATAAGCGCACCTTCCTCTTCCTCGAGCAGCTCATCCTCAAGCACGGCGCGCACCGGGACACAATCAATATCAAGGAGGTGAAGGATGGCATCGACTTTTTCTTCGCGGCCCGCAATCAGGCCGAGAAGTTTGTCGACTTCCTGAGCTCGTCCGTCCCCATCCGCATGAAGAAGTCGCAGGAGCTCATCTCGCAGGACGTGCACACGTCGACAAAGTCCTACAAGTTCACATTCTCCGTCGAGCTGATACCTATCTGCAAAGAGGACCTGGTTGTCCTCCCCATAAAATTGGCCAAGCAGGTCGGCAACATCTCGCCCCTAGTTCTCTGCCACAGGGTCGGAACGGCAGTCAATTTTATGGACCCGAGCACCCTACAGACTGCCGAGGTCCCGGCCTCGATATATTGGCGCCACCCCTTCCATTCGATTGCCGAGTCCAAGGATCTGGTTGAGTTCATCATCATGGATATCGAGCCTCTCGGCACGCAAAAAGGCAAATGGATTCTAGGTGAGGCCACTGTCGCACGGGCGTCGGATCTGGGCGTCAACGACAAGACGTACTTTGCGCGCACCCACCTGTCGGGCCTGCTGCAGGCCGGCGACTCGGTGCTGGGGTACATGCTCACGGGCACCAACTTCAACAACGAGGAGTTCCAGGCGCTCGAGGACTCGCACGCGTACGGCTCCACGATCCCGGACGTGGTGCTGGTCAAGAAGCACTGGCAGCGCAAGCGGCGCAACCGGACCCGCAACTGGCGCCTCAAGCGCATGGCCAAGGACGAGGGTGAGCTGCTGCCCAAGAAGGCGGACCAGGAGCGCCTGGACGCCGAGTACGAGCAGTTCCTGCGCGACGTCGAGGAGGACGACGAGCTCCGCGCCACCCTGGCGCTCTACAAGAGCTCAAAGAAGTCCAAGAGGCAGCCCGAGGCCGATGCCATGAGCATCGCCGAGACCGAGATGACGATGGGTGACGACGACGACGCACCCAAGGTCAACATGGCGGAGCTGCTGGATGACATGGACGAGCTCGCCATCGAGGATGAGTAGTGGCCTTTGTCATCCTTTCCTTCTACTTTGTCACTCGTTCTCTCTCATTCTCCATGGGTAGGTCACAAAAAGTCAGTGGGGGCACGGCGCTCTGGGAACTTGCATGATAAACGGCGTTTTTTTTTGTTTTACTCTGTAGTAATTCTACAACTTTGATACCTTGTTGTTGCAGGCAGAAGGGATAGGCACGGTGTGAGGCTATTCCGGTTGATATGCTCTAAGGAGGAAAGGATTTGAAGTGCAAGGTCCCGTAGGGGCCTTTGCCCTTTATATACACGTAACTCCCTATCCTCCTTGCTTACTAAGCTTCCCTCTTAACGCCTAAAAACGTTATACGCTTCCAAGCAAGGGGACCGCTTTTCCGATGCCTTAAGCATTTAATATTTATGCTTAAAGCTTCTTTACAACAATATATATTATTTATTTTGTAATATACCTTTTAAGCAAACCTTTTGGGTTGTTTGTAAATAAAACAAAAGGAAATTGGTTGCTATATTGATAGCGTAGGATTTAAAAGCTTACCGCGCTTTTAAAAATTAATTGTAAAAACGCATTAACTTTAAAAAGTAACGAAGTAAGCGTTTTTCGCTTTTAAAAGGTAACCGTAAAAGCGCATTAATTTCGAAAAGTAACAAAGCAAGCATTTTCCGTTGCTAAAAGCAACGAAACAAATGCTCCAACCATAAAAAGTAACGAAGTAAATGCTTTAACCATTACCGGAAAAAAATGGGCGTAGCAATTAAAACCTTTTTTTTTTTATTTCGTTTTGGCCTTTTTTTTTTTCCTTTTTATTACCATTTTTTTACCAATCCGTAAATTTTTACGCTTTCGTTTCCATTATTCGGGCTTTTATTAATACAAAAATTTTTGCAAAAGCAAAAGCAAACAATTGTAAGTGCTTTGCGCGGCGGCGTAATATTTTGGAAGCGTTGTACAATATTAACAAATTAATTGGAAAATGGGTATTACCAATAACAAAATAACGCGTGTAACCGTTTAAAAGCGCGTTAAACGCAAAAAATTTAACCGGGCTTAAGCCCAAAAAAATAAGTTATAGCTTTTTGCTTTTTTATTAATTTACCGCTTTTTCGCTAATTTCGTTTTATGCGCGTATAATGCAAATTTGCAAGCGGTTATAGTTATTTTAATAATTAAAGCTAAGCAAACGGAAAAAGCATTGTTTAAAAAAAGGAAAAAACCCAATAAATTGAAAAAAAGCAAAAGAAAAATAAATTCCCCGCGGAAAAAGATAAGCAACGGGATATAAAAAACGCGTGGAAGCAATAAACTGCCCGCAAAAAGGTTTAAAATAACGCCCAAGCAATTAAAGCGATAAAAGCGCGTGCGTTTACCAAAAGCGCTAAACGGGTTAAAGTTAATCGGGCTTATTACGCTAAACGAATGGAAGCTTTGCGCCGTTTTTTAACCTGGACCCCAATTAACATTACCGTAACCGTTTTCGAGCTTTCGGTTATTTTTGTTACTTTTTGCACGTTTCGTCCTAATTTTTAACCCAATCCAATCGGTGCTTTTTAAGTTCCGGCTGGACCAAGCAAAAGCTTTGGGCCCGATTGGCTTATTCGTTAAACGATTAAAATCGATTTTAATTTCGATAAATTTATTAATTAATTCGTTTAAAAAAATAACGATAATAACGATAAGCCCGTCGTTTTCCCCAATACCCGAAAGCGCAAAACGGGTAAAAAAACGAGGGTAAATAATTAAATTAATTTATTCCCAACCGTTTTCGCAAATTTTATATTAACTACCCTTTTTTTTCCGTTTTAATCCTTAAAAAAAATACTATTTGGCCTTTCTTTTTAACGAAACCGTTAACCTTTTTTTAACGGAAACGTTTTAGCTAGCTTTTCCGATAATACCATTTCCCGCGCGGTTTTATGCAATAAATGCACTAAAAGTTCTTTAACAAAATTTCGGGGCCTTTGCAGCAATAAGCCTATAGCGCGCACCTTTTGGAATGGTTATATTTTACGGTATATTTAATGTATTTAAAGCAATTACCGTTGCAACCCCTTTCCTTTCCTGCCCCAATTGCGCATTGCAATTGCTTTATTCCAAAAGGAACTTTTGGATAGCTTTCGCTTTAAAATTAAAAAGCTTAAAAAAGTAATAAACCATTTTTTTAAGCTTTACCCAAAGCCGGGCAACAAATAAAAGGATAAGGCTAAGGAAAAAAATAAAAAAGCTTTCCGTTAAAGTAACCCTGCCCTTTATAACCCGACCCCAAAAAAAAAAAAAATGGTAATAATAACGAAAAAAGTTAAAAAGGTAACATTAAAACCGCAATAACTCGGGATTACTCCTTTTATGGAAATGCCTTTATTTACTAAATAATAAGTAAGGGTTAAAGCTAAAATGGAAAGAAAAAATAAATAAAAAAAAAAGTGCGGCGCTTTTAAAAAATTGCACGCGTTATAATTAAATGCCGTTTTATTGTTTAAAACCGGCATGCTTTA